CACAATCCATATTAACCGTTCAAACTAAAGACGAATACGAGCGAAGCGAGGGTGAATCGTTAGTAATATACTGATATATATTTATATCGTATATCTCCGAGAAGGCTCTAATGATTTGGATCAAATTTTGTATTTAGATAAGGTTTTGCAGTTTAAGTTTATAGGTGTATTTTCTGAAAAAACGCAATTTTTATATCCTTTTCGAAACGCCGAACAAAGCTTGGCGGCCCAGATACTTGTAACTAATAATAATATTAACGTAATTGTAATATTGTAAAAAAGTGACCGATTACTTAAGTGATTTATCAAGTTCCACAAATTACGTTTATGACAGCCGGAGGATTCATAAAACCAAAGGCTTTACTTAATTCTTTAATTAAAACAACTTAAAAATAGAAATTATACATCTAAACTTAATACTATGAAACAATAGTGATCGATATAAGAGTCACATATTGAATACAAATAACTTATTACGATCGGTATGTACCGGTATGATCGGTATGATCGGTACATGGGTCTTTGAGAGGAAAAGGAATAGAGAGTGCACTTGTGCACTATAATATCGCCTGCGCATGTGGCTAGTCTCAGTGAGATTGGCCGTGACCGAAATCAGTCAGAAGGATTATTATAATATAAAAATAAAATTACAAGTATAAAAAATCCGACTCGGTAAAAAGCGAAGAAAAAAGATAGAGTATCCCCATATTAAGGAAGGAACATAGTATTATGCAGCTATCGGATTAGTAGTTTGAGAGATCACCCCCTACATACAAACATACAAACTTCAATTTCCGTACCGCTTTGTATGTAGTGATTTTATTTATTTAATTATTTAGAATTGAAATACAATTTTATCGACTTTATCTATATAGAGGTAGGTAAATAAGAATATCTTTTCAGAATTTTTGGCAGATTTAGTTTGAATTTGTGACTGACGTATTGAATACTTTACAGCAAACATGGTCACGGGAGAGACTGTCTCTCTTGGAACTAAAAACCAAAATAAATCCGCGAAAAAATCCGAAAAGCTTTATTTAAAATATCAAATATTCGTGTAAAACTAAGAAAGTAATTTTATCGATTTTATCGACTGCTGTTTCATACGTTAGTATTATAGTAACAAAGCGTAGAAACGGATATATTCTGTATCTCAAAAACCACCCAACGCATTTAATTAAAAATGATTTTCGTTTAATGTACTTGTATTTTAGAAGAACTTTTATTATATTGCTAGCGACTTACCCTCGCTTCGCTCGGGTCCCTGGGTACGCGAATATTGTTTACAATTTCATGAGTTTTAATTTTTTTGCGCAGAACCCTAATTCTTTTTCTAGCATAAAAGTTGCCAAGTTACCCTTATAACATCACCTATATGCCAGTAAAAGCCAACCAGACAGACAAACATTTTAAAAAATGTTTTTTCTTATAAGTACCATTGTTAGGGTCCTGGTGGACGTTAAAATAAAGAGTGGACTGTATAATAATTATATTTTAGGCTGGTACAATCGTCGTTTGTCGTTACAATTGAATAGGGAAGACAAATTGAATTATTTTGAGTCGGCTTGTCGCCACAGGTCTCAAAAGGAAGTGAAGTGCTCCGTCATGTAATGGCCGCTCGCCGTGGCTGTCGATGGTGGGGCTGCGACCGCGGCCCGCAGGTGTCCACTGTTGCGTTTTACGCAACAACCATATATATTTTCATATGTATTTACTAAACAAGCTATTAATTTGATATTACAAACACCCTTCAATTTTATTAATCTGTTTCTAGATATATTGACTGCATTTCTTTAAGAATTATTCACCTACCACTAACATTTTTAAAAGTTAAATGACTTTTAAGGCGTCTAACTCAGCAAGTACTGACTTGAAAAATATTATCTATACATCTATAAAAAATATATTGGTCTGGAAACTTATATATATATATATATATATATATATATATATATATATATATATATATATATATAATTTATTATTTATTATTACTTATATATATATATATATTTTTCTAATAATTATTATCTGCTTGTACAGAATGTAATAAAATTGAGGATGTACATCATATATTAGCTGAATGTGTCCGAAATGAAGAGAAAAGAAGCCTTTATTTATTAAGATTTAATATAAATTTATTAGACATAGGAGCTTTCAACAGTATTCTGGCCTATCCTGTATCGAATCAGTCAAGAATGTTGTATAAAGTAGTACAAGTCGGATTAAGATATAGAAATACTTAATTTATGTTATTTATAAGGTTGATTATTGGAAATTGTATTAATTATGTTTATTATTATATTCTTTATTGCACTAAACAAGTAATAAAAAAAAATAGAAAATGACGTGGACAAAGGTTGACTTATCTCTATAAGAGATCTCTTCCAGTCAACACATGTATGTGGGAAATAGTGTTAAGTAGCGGGACAGAAAGAGAAAGTGCAGAGAAACGATAAGGAAATATATAAGAATAATCATAAGTAAAACAAAATAAATACAATATATTCATAAACATACATATATACATAAACATACATATATACATAAACATACATATATACATAAACATACTTATATTATTACAAAACAGAAATGTTCATATTTTTCAATTATGAGTTAGAAAATACTTTTTCATATTGATTTTAAACGCATCATTAGAAGAGCTCTCTTGTAGGACTTTGGGAAGTCTGTTCCATAGCACTGCAGCGTGTACCGAGAGTGAGTTTTGGAAAAACTTGGTGTTGCTTCTTGGTATGTCAAGCATCGATGTGATGCAGGGTCGCCTGGAACGCGATGGAGTGGGAAGAAAGTTAAATCGGGAACGAAGGTAAGAGGGAAAATTGAGGTTATGAAGGATGTTGAACAGAAACGAAAGGAGTTAGGAAAGAAACCAAAGTTTAGTTATTCCTATAGGAGTGGTATGATCACTTTGCGACCAAACCCCTTTTAAAATAAAGATACAAAAAAAAAATAACTGCGCGGAGTCAACATATACAAAGGGCTTAATAGGCCACTGAGAAATATCTTGGTGGACCCAAGGCGGTGCGTTAAACCATAGAGTATGCGAAACAAGTTGTGCAGGAGTTAAAACACGCCCCCCCAAAGTGCGTTCACCTTGTCGTGGTGGGGGGGCTCAATAGTAGTAGTGAAGCTAAGAAACGCACAGGGAGGTTGCCCACTTCGGTGGGCGGTGGGAGGTGGCCCTCTTTGGGGGGCGGTGTACGTTGCGGGTTGCTCCTGGTACTTCTCTGATGAGCAACCCCATGGTTGTGGTGGTCTGCTTTGGCAGACCTGCCGTCGGGGCGTCGTAGTTGAATGCGTAAGCGATCCTGCGACGCCCCATTAAGACGGGGGAAGGTTTTGTTGGGTTTTAGTGGGTAGTACTGGCTGTATTACGCTGGTAAGTCCCACACGTCGTGCGTTTCCCAACGTTAAAAAAAAGGCATTTTTTACGATGCGATAGATTTAGACTACAGTATGAAGTTAATCGTTAAATCTTCCTTTAGTACAATGTGATGTATATATTCAAGATATTTATTTCGGTGTTTCTATATATACAACACGTTTTTTATATCGATAAAAATATATTTGGCACGATTATCTAACTGCCGCCATTTTTAATCCAATATGACGGACGTTACAAAATGGCAATTTATCATTTCCATAGTGACCCTTATATTGATACCAAATAAAAGCGCTTGATGAGCGAAACACAAGAAGCAAAGTGACGTTATTATAAATCCATCATGACGGACTATGTTTTTTTATGCACCCCCGCTATATGGATATCTAATGAAAAGGTTTGCTGAGAAAAATACGAATGAAATAAAAACAAAAACAAAGTAGAAAAAAGTAATTAATATATAAAAAAACAAGGTTTTATTTAAATGCTCTAAAAAAAACGAAGAATAACTTCTTACGTGCGTACATACATAAGTACTCGCATACTTTTTTTATCTGTATTTGTTTATAACGTTTGCAAATTTTAACATGCTGAAAAATGGTTTTTCTCGATGTCATTCCGGATCCAATGAGCTATCGCACATATGTATAAGAGCTTTATCACTAATTTTCACCATTTTCAACTTGTGATCTAGACTATATTGAGTCAAGTCAAGAATGACATAGAATTAAAATTTACTAAGCCTATGTGACCATCATGTTGTAAAAAAAACAATAAAGTCTAAATATAGGTATGCTAATTCAAGTTATTTGTATTTAACATTTTCAATGCCAATGCATTGTATTGCATTTACATAGTATAGCTGAAGTGATTGTTTGTTTCTATGCACTAATCTCTATCATTATATTTAATTTAAATATAAACTTTTTTTACAAATGTTATAATGTAAAGATGAAAAGTATCGGCGTAATATGTACAGGCCACAATCATGGATTTGTGCATCTCTGAGTTGGCCAACATCATGGGTCGTATCAGAGGCATGTTGGTTGATTAACGTCATGAATCAGCTACTGTTTTATTGTTCCGTCTTTTCTATAAAGGTTGATCAATGTCATGGATCAGCAAAATATATTGTTGAACGAGGATGAATAAGAAGAGAGCGTGGCCACCGTTCACGCCACCGATGAGCTGAGACTTCGAGCTATGGGAAGGAGCATCATCGACGCGTCACTTTTGCTCGGACGGTCGGCTTACGCGGATGTGTAAAAGAAATACAGTTTTTTTTATTGCCAATAATTATTATAAAATTAGTGTAAATAATTTTTGTAAAAGATTTCTAATATAATTTCTGTTCATTATTTTTTTTTTAAATTTCACTTCTGGTTTATAAGATCAGAAGTGGGATAGTGCCTCATGGCCTACCCGCTTTTGGTACATCTGACAAATTTATCAAAGTTTAGATAATAAGTGTTTTCATTTGAATTTAACGTTTGCAAGTAGTTTTCTTTTTATTTTCACTCTTTGTAGTATAAAAGTCGAATTATGTCCGATCAACAATCTCGTTCTCGTAAACGCAAGCGTGACTCTAGCAAGGATGGCTATCCTTGCCAGGTTGAATACGCTTGAAGAACGTTTTGCTACGCCACCGCCGCCGCAGCCGTCCGGGCTACCTTTACAGGTTGCTTCAACATCCCTGGAGCATACGCCGCAACCGGTACAACCTGCGCTAACGGGTGGTGCAACCACTGACGACGTACGTGATGATGACTCAACCGCGGGTCGCGCATCTACCTTATTATTGCGAGAAAGCATCTCTACGGGTAGCGACACAACTGGCAGAATCGTGGAGGCTATCACTTCGCTAGTTAAAGTAAGGTCTAATGATTATTTTATTTCTAACTTTGACCCTCAAGTTCACAATATCGACGATTATTGTGAGGAAGTAGATAGGGTTAAAGAAACTAACGGATGGGACGATAACGAGTGTCTTTCGCGAATCGGGAACTGTTTGAAGGGAGAAGCGCGTTTATGGCTTAACGAGTGGTCTAGCACCGATCGTTCATGGACAAATTTCAAACGAGAATTTAAAACGTTGTGTCCGCGAACCGTCGATATCGCGAGCATTCTTTACGAAGTGATGTCCAAAGATTCCAAAGGTTATGTTACTTATGCCGAATACGCTAAACGTTCATTATTAAGGTTGGGACTAGTTAAAGGATTTCTGAAGAACTAATTGTTGCCATAGTAATAAGGGGTATAACAGATCCTCATATTAAGGCCGCAGCCACTAATGCCAAATTACAACCTAATGTATAATTTTTATCGATGTATGTGAAACCAAAAAAATGATTTTCGGTCTACCCGTGATAATTCTCATGGATCACATTCTGGTTCTAGTTTATCCACAGTTCGGAATAATAAAACTAAAAAAGGGGCTAGTGATATTAAATGTCATTTTTGTGGAAAGTTTGGGCATAAACGTATAAACTGCATCAGTGCTAAAAGGACTCGGTTAGGTAAGATCTCCGGGTCGAGATCGTCTGAAACGGAGACACTGTCATCTTCTGTGAAAACATGTTCATTCTGTAAAAAGATTGGTCATGTAGCCGATGACTGTTTTGCTAAACAACGCTTCGAGTCAACTAACCTTAACCCGCGTAATGTAAATTTTTGTAGTAAATCAGATGGCAGTCTCTCAAAATCATCGACTGATGTCAAAAGCGCTGTAATCGAAGGTGTACCGGTAGATTTATTAGTAGACAGCGGTTCTTGTATATCACTTATATCGAGTTCACTGTTGAAACATTTTAAGGCTAGCCAGAAACCGACCTATCGCATATTACGAGGTATAGGAAGTCAGATTGTTGAATGTACTTCATTTGTAACATTAATTGTTGAACTACCCCACATATCTATCGAAGCTGATTTATACGTAGTACCAAATAACTGCATTATTACTCCGGTTATTATAGGCACTGATATTTTGAATCGTGAGGGTATCACATATATCAGACAAAATGGTGTTCAACTTTTGACGCGTTCAGTTATACCTATATCTGGGAATAATATTCTTGACGTTAGTAATGTGAACACACCCCTTGAAGGTGAAGAGAAGGAACAAATTTTGTCTGTTATAAGTGATTTTTCGAATTTCTTTATAAATGGTACGGCCTCGTCAACAGTTACGACGGGTAGCACGAAAATAGAAGTCTCCAATAATGAACCGGTATGTTATAGGTCGTATAAATTATCGTATGATGAGAGACTCCGCGTTCGAAATATAATCAAAGATCTAATGGCTAAGGGCATTATACGTGAATCTGAATCCCCATACGCAAGCCCTATGATTTTGGTCAAAAAGAAAGACGGCACAGACTGAGTGTGTGTAGATTATAGGGCCTTGAACGCACGTACTGTTAAAGATAAGTTCCCTTTTCCACTTATAGAGGATCATATCGATAGGTTAGGGTCAAGTGGATTGTTTACGAGTTTAGACATGGCAACTGGTTTCCACCAGGTACCTATGGAGGCGGACTCAATTGCCAAAACCGCTTTTGTAACCCCAGAAGGTTACTGTGAATATGTTAAGATGCCATATGGCCTTTCCAACGCACCAGTGGTTTATCAAAAGATAATTTCAAAGACTCATGTCATTTATCGATTCAGGAAAGGTCTTAGTGTACATAGATGATGTTCTTTTGTTATCCAATACGGTAATTGAAGGATAAGCCTTGCGGCGACAAGTATTAGAAACCCTTACTTTGTCAGGGTTCTTTATAAATCTAAAGAAATGTACTTTTCTTAGTAGCGAAATAGAGTATCTTGGCAGGATTATTAAAAATGGTCAGGTTAGGCTGAGTATGCGCAAAGTCCAAGCTCTGGTTGATTGTCCTAAGCCTCGAAGTGTCAAACAAATTTGACAGTTCCTTGGCCTTGCGGGGTATTTTAGAAGGTATATTCCCAACTTATTCTAAATAGTACTAAACATAGTACGATCAATATGTCTCCTCTCCAATTGCTTGTCGGAAGTGATATTTCCACTCCTGTCATACGTGCCCTTATCCGAGATGTTGCGATAGATATGGCTACTTCAAATCGTGAAGCTACAATGGCGCTGCGGAGACAACGTATGTCATCACTATTGTTAACAAACCAGCAAAAACAAGACGATTATATGAACAGGGGCCGCAGATCACCGTCTGAGTTTAATATTAATGACAAGGTATTTGTAATCAAGACTTCACAGGCAGTTGGAAAATTAGACTCCTGTATGCGTGGGCCTTACAAGGTATTGAAACGACTTCCACATCATCGGTATGAATTGGAATTGTTGGCTCGCTTGTATGGAAAGCGTACGGAGGCTGCAGCTGAAAACATGGTAGCGTGGGCAGGAGAGTGGACCCCCGAGACCTGCGCCGAATTCTTTGAATGTAATTCGTCGATTAAATTATACTTTACTACTGACATATAAAAGTATTGCTTATAATAAAGTTTTGTGCATTTATACAATGTTCATGTTGGTATCGAGTGTGATTCTCTACCACGGCAGATGGAATGTTCCTCTGGACCCTTTTCCATATTCACGTTGACATGGAGATGTGTTCTCTGTCACGGTAGATGGATTACTCACTAGAGTTTTTCCATATTCACGTTGGTATTGAGTGTGATTCTCTACCACGGCAGGGCAGTTAGCTCATAAGGGGCACTGTCACGGTATACTAGTTACTACCGCGATAAAGACAATTACTGATCAGTTGCTATATCGCACATATGAATGAGGGCCCTCCCGAGATTGATGTGTATGAACGGAGTAAATAGCTTGAATGTTTTGTGTGAGAAGTCTGTGTAATGTCATGAAGTATAAAGACTAGTTTTGAAAGGAGTATGCTTATTATGAGTCACAAAGATGTATTATAATGTGTCCAATTAATTTGTGCTTTTCAGGGGAGTCTGATGATTCTATGCACGATACATCGGCGGAAGCTGAGACGAGTTCAAGTTTTGAACACAGCAGAGTGGCGGACGAGGACGACCGCCCGTCAGGAGAGGCCGTGTTGAACGAGGATGAATAAGAAGAGGGCGTGGCCACCGATCACGTCACCGATCATGCCACCGATGAGCTGAGACTTCGAGCTATAGGAAGGAGCATCATCGACGCGTCACTTTTGCTCGGACGGTCGGCTTGCGCGGATGTGTTAAAGAAATACAGTTTTTTTTATTGCCAATAATTATTATAAAATTAGTGTAAATAATTTTTGTAAAAGAGTTCTAATATAATTTCTGTTCATTATTTTTTATTTTAAATCTCACTTATGGTTTATAAGAATATATATTTTTTTATAGTAAAGTAGGAAAGATCAATGTAATGGATCTATTGAATGAAATGGCTTGGGATTATATTGATTAAAGTCATGATGATTGGATAGATATTTGTATATTTATTATTAGTAAAAGATTTACTCAGAATATAATATTTATGTATTATATTGTGAGGAATTGAAATTAAAGTAGAATTAAGCTGATTGAAATGAAAGTTTAGCTTTGTTGAATTTAGTAAAGTTAAGAGTTATCGATTACTGAATTTGTTTATTTTTGCTTCTCTTATGTTTATTTTGTTATCTATATTTATTAAGAGGGACTCGTAAGGCTATTGGATGGTCGAGTTGTTACCAACTTTACATATTTTTAGTGTTTAATAGAGCGGAAATGTGCAATATTATATAATATAATAATAATAATAATAATAATATTTTTATTTAAGACTCAGTCCACTTGTTAGTTACATTTAAAAACTTTACAACTATGTTAGTAAAACTTATTGTGTAATATATAATATACCTACTAAACAAATAAAAATAATGCTTCCGAGGAGACTCCTGTGCTAAAGATTATAGTTAGCAACGGGAGCATGAAGCTGTACCCAGCGACAAAACAACGGGGAGTCCCACCGGTCGGCCAAGGCACTCAGGATGGTGTTCGATGCCCCGCTTACTCGCGCCCACAGCGAAGCGCACCTTTTTCTTATGATCGCGTGAAAGCAGTCGGTACGCGCCTTGGCAAACATTGACGACGCGCTACAGAAGCGCGGCAGACCGAACAACATCCTGAACGCGTTGTTGTATTGGACACGTAGAGCGCTGTATGCTCGCTGCGTGAAATCGACCCACAGACCGCACGTGTAGAACGATTGACAGTAGGCTTTGAAAAGTGTTAGTTTGACTTGTTTACTACAGCGCGCAAATCTGTGGATCAACATATTACAGCGAACAGACAGCGCCCTACGCTCTCTTTCAATGTCTACCGTGTCTGACAAGCTCTCAGTGACCCAGTGACCCAGATATTTGAACCGGTCAACTCTTTTCAACTCAGAGCCTCCTAGAGAAACACAAGTTACTCTCCGTTGTCTCCTTGTGTCACCCGCCTGAAAAACCATTAACTCGCTTTTTAACGCGTTGTATCTGAGCCCATGAGCCACTGCGTACTCTTCACACATGTGAAGCAACTTAGTCAAAGCACCGATCGAAGGGCTCAGCAGCACCATATCGTCTGCGTAGCTGATGTTATTGATGCACGTCCCGCCTACATGGCATCCTATGTAGGTGCTACTAAGCTCCTCGATCAGTTTATTAATGTACACGTTAAAAAGCTTGGGTGAGGTCAACCCCCCTTGCCTCATTCCACATTCCAACCCGTACTCATCCGACCGGGAGCCAGCCCATTTGACGCTATTCCTCTGGTTGTCATACCAATATTTAAATATTGATATGACATCAGGAGGTAAACTGGTTTCACAATGTAGCTTTTTCCACAACAAATTGTACGATACCAAATCGAATGCCTTCGACAAGTCCAAAAAGCAAGCATAGATTGGGGTTTTTCCAGCCGTGTAGTACTGCACAGTCTGCTTGAGACAGAAAATGGCACTCTCTGTGGACAGACCGGGTTTAAAACCAAACTGTAAATCATGGATTTTAATATTTTCGTCCAATCTTCTGCCAAGCAAACCGTCCATCACCTTGGCTATAACCGTAGCCAAGGATATAGGCCTATAATTGGACAAGTCGGGGGCATCCCCCGTTCTATTCTTTATTATAGGCACAACAAGAGTATACATTAATTCATTCGGTAAGTAACAATGACTTATACATAAATTAAAAAATATAGCTAAAACTCGAGGCAAATGCACCCCCGCGTACTTCAGATGCTCGATGCTGAGATCGTCGTGACCGGGAGACTTACCTCTGACCATTCCTTTAATAATTGAGGCGACCTCACATTCAGAAAATCTGACAGTAAAGTCTCCGTCGCGACACCCAGCATCGAACACCTGCGACTCTAGAGGGAGAGAAGACTCCACTTTAAAGTGCTTGCGGAAGGCATTGGCTACATCAGTCGGATCAAACTTACCATCTACACTCACGGGGAGGCTCGATTTTGGATTAAGTTTATTAGTGTTTTTCCAAAATTTATTGAAATTTTTATCAGCATGGTTTTGAGCAATAATATCTAGTTTTATTTGTTGTTCGTTATTTTGACAATATTTTAATTTAGTTTTAAATAATTTTCTCGATTCATGCATCTTATCATAGATAAAACCAGTGTACGGTTTTCCATATAATATCCAAGACTGATACCAGAACCGAGCCTCCCTGTGAGCGCTACTAACGTGCATATTCCAGCCTGCTATGCACCTATGCTTCCTAACTTTTTTATCGATATAACTATATTCTGCCGAGTCTCTTAGAATACAAACAATCTCATTATACATTGTTGTTATTTTAATTTTATTATCGATGTTTGAACACCTGTTGTCAGCACATGCATAAAAATCACCTGGAAGGTCTATTAAGTGTAGTTTACTATTACAACTATCAGTATATTGCTGTATTTGATTACTGTCTCTTTCACCCCATTTTATTTTATTAACATATTGTGTGGGGGCCACAATTTTACACTGAATTTTGCTTATATTACATTCAATTAATAAGGGAAAATGATCAGACCAGTAAACGTCATGATTTAAAACAAATGCATTAAGTACAGAATGCCGCGCGGCACTAGTAACAATACAATGGTCGAGCCATCTGCGAGAACCGTGTGAATCACTAACATATGTATAGGTATCGCTAGGTAATAGCTCCATATCTACACACGACCACATGTTTTCTTTACAAAAATTTAAAAGCTCTAGCGAAAACTGCTCACCTGGGTGTGCATTGAAGTCCCCAAGAATAAAAACAGATTCGATGCTGTTTGTCTCTACTAAAGCACTTATTTCACCCATACAGTCCGTAAAGTCCACAAGGTTCACCGCCGAGTCCGTAGGCATATACACAGTAATCACTAGCATCGACTTACCACTGTCGAGGTGTATTTTAATAGCCGCTAAACGCACACTATGACACTCAACTACCGACACACGCGGGAACGCAGACTTCCTCCACAATAGTGCCACCCCACCAAACGGCCTTCCACGGAGAGTACCCTGAGAAGTGTCTACCGCTGATTTTCCAGTAAACGCGAAGTCCTTATCTATAGTTCCAAGAAAGTTGAGATCATGTGGTAAGAGCCATGTCTCTTGTAAGGCAATTATGTCAGCCTTTCGGCAGAGAGACCTCAAACAAGCAACGGACCGCTGTACATTTCTACAATTGAAACTGATTATTTTAGTTGTAACAGCCATTATTTATTTAAGGTACTCCTGGGCATTTGGCCACTTCGGTGTCTTTCTTTAAAGTCTATAAAACGTCTAAACGCCACTCCTTCCGGCCAAAATTCATCTTTTAAAAAATATTCAATTTTGCTTTTAGGCACATAGACTTTATATGCATCATAATATTTTTGCGTTTTCATAATAACCTTTTCCAAATCAACAGACACATCTGTCTTACTTTTTACATAATTATGAATGTCGTCTTCCGTGACATCTTTCGCTATGTTATATATATACAAAGGGATTCGTATATCCGCCGCTTTAAAATTTATATTTGATTCGACAACGGCTTTTCCTTTGTTACCAACAAATCGATTTCTCAATCTTTTTTTTTGTACTAATATCCATTGCTTATTTCCTTCTTGAGGCTTCCATTCACCTTGTTCCAAAACTTTAGAGTAAGATTTTTTCTCCTGCGGCCTGCGGTCATTGTAGCACGGCCCGTCCGATAGTATTGTAGGCGCAGGTACAATCGACGCATGAGTCATGCTCTCGCTCGACGCTGACTTCGTGTTGTATTATAATATGTATAATAATATGTATAATAAGATCACAAAACTATATACATTATGAATATTTTGGTATCTCAATTGACACTTTCCGCTCAGAATTAAATAATTATTTCATAAAGAATATATATAGTATTTTGACTCGAAATTGAAGATAATAAGAGTCGAAAAACAATTGCCATCCGTTGCCTAGATTAAGATTATATTAAAAATGTCTTTAAATTTAAATTCTAATCTAAAACATTAATAAAGTAAAATGTAATGCTGAATAATAAGTGTTGTGCAGTTTGAGACTATAAGTTTTTTTACGAAGAATGCGTTTAACAAGAAATACTAAGAAATGGCTTGAAAAGTCGACTTCTCATAGAGCTAGAAAGATCGTTGTTTGATGTGAACGGTTTGACAATATAGTCTAATTATGAAAAAGTAGGCGCGAAAAAAAATATCAGTGCTCCTTCATAAGCTTCTAAAATGCCCGTTTTATAGTATGTGTTTATAAGTAGTTTTCATTTATAAATAAAATGAATAAAGGATATACTTTCTCTATTTTGATATTCATTATTTGTTTGCCATTTCTGTTGCCAAGCAACCATCAGGAATCTATGACAAAAAAAGAATTGATGAGCACAGGCAGCATTTAATTTTCTATATTTGAATAGTCTACAGTACCCAACGGATTTCTTTTAATCTGTACTAATATTATAAATAGTTAAAGTTTGTGAATTGTGATTTTGTGAAGTTGTAGGGGGTAACTTCTGGATTTACTAAACCGATTTAGATGAAATTTGGTAAGAACTTAGTTTGAGACCCTGGGAAGGACATAAGACATGGATTTTTATCCTGGAAATCATCCCTTAAGGGGGTGAAAAAGGGGATGACAGTTTGTATTGAGAGACAAGCTAGGGACTAGGGAACCCGAGCGAAGCGAGGGTGAGTCGCTTGTGATTAATAACAAGCTAAAACTTCTTGAGTAGCTTCATTTTGGCGAGACGCCCAACTATTCTTTCTACGATAATTTAATAGTGGTAGATACAATTGTCCATTGATACAGAAAATGTAAAAACGGTGAAAGTGTAAAAATTATTATCAGGTTATTTTACGATTTTAATCTTGAAATAAGCCAACCTTAAATAAGAAAAAATGTTGTCCTACAAAACAGATGGTTTGGATCAAATCGTCCCTCTCTTCGAACTTGTTAAAATAGTAACGTCATAAAATTTATGAATAACGGGCTAATTCTCATAGTATTTATTATTAAAAATATATTCTAATCATCCTACTAATAAAATGGTAGGATTTCTGAGTCCTACTCTCGGATTTGTCTTCCCCATGGTCTGTAGACCAGAAGCTTTATGCCATATACATTATTACATGTAATATATTTCTTTCAAGATCAGTACCTCTGGAGTCTCATAATCTCTTTATACTTTAAAAAACTGGTAGTAAAAGAATTTTTATTTTGCAAGTAGAAGACCTTGTTATAAAACTTAAAAACGGAGGAAGGTTGTAAAAAAACACACATAGAAGATATGTTTTAATTTATTAAATAACAGAGCTTAATTAATCCAAAAACATTAATCAACATTTGTTTCTCTTCGGTCATGCTTAATCTACTACAGATGACATTATTGCGTCAACATTAGTAATGTACGATTCGCACAAATTTCTTTTATCAAAAGCTTCCAGAATGTCTTCATCAAGGTGATGATTAACTATCGCACTGCAACGTAAGTCATAGGCAGCATAAGCGAAAGGAGATTCTAACTGATATTCGACTACCTTGCGTAGCGAATGGTTTTGCAAAAAATGTAGATTATTATTATAATGCCGATTACGGGTTGATGAAGGCCGGATTGATATTAAAAGAGACTGAAGTTGACGGGGTTTAGCATTATAACAACGAGCTTGTACAATTCTTGCATATGCCGCATTTATGAGTTCTTTAGTATATTCATTTGAATACATGACTTGTCCATATAAAATGCGTGCGGCTAGCGACACCTTTTCTACCCACGTCATGCTTTTTTGTAGAGCCCTGTCTAACTCTTGTGTATTTTCTTTAGTAAATAAACTAAACATATGTCGTATAACGGCATTTTGTAATTCTTCCTCAGTATTGTAGTCTTCAAGCTTTTCTTCAATTACCGCTTGCACTTCATTAGGAGCACCGCCAATGCAGAACACAGTGCCAGTTATACCTGAATGGTTAAATGACTTCTAAATATAATAAAACTTATATATATATATATATATATATATATATATATATCTGTGTGTGTGTGTGTAAAGAAAACCAAGAAAACCACTCCACATGCAAGTGCTTTTCATAAGATTATATATAATAAATATTTTAAATTCTTTTTAATTCATTCCAAATTTACTTTTAACTTTTTTATTTTTTATTTTTGGCATTTAATAGAATAATTATTGATATAATTATCTATACTAATATTATAAAGAGGTAAAGTTTGTGAGTTTGTGATGTTGCACGGGGTAATCTCTGGTTCTACTGAACTGATTTAGGTAGATGATATTTGGTAAAAAGATATTTTGATACCCTGGAAAGGACATAGAGTCCTTTTAACCCCGGAAATCATCCCTTAAGAGGGTGAAAATGGAGATGAAAGTTTGTATTGGATAGCAAGATAGGGACGAACCCGAGCGAAGCAAGGGTGAGTCGCTAGTTGATATATGAAATTACAAATTTTCCTTATTATAATATGTTAAGATATAAAAAAAATTGAAAGAGAGGCTTTAAACGTAGTTTTTATTATTGTTTGAAAAACCCAATGAAGTCTTTATTTTTAAATAAGAGAGTAATATCATTATAAAACTACATTTTCTGCAAATATTTCACGAAACATGGAAAAGTTGAGGTTTGACTTTGCAGTGAAACCAACAGCAGATGGAAAATCAAACATTATATGTATAACCTCGATAACTACACCTGAAGGATAAATTGTTGGCTTACCAACCGAAAACCAACCTGCACACCTACACCAAGAAATTATAAAAACTACCCACTATGTCAAGATTAAAAATCAATAATCCTTCCACGACCGCGGACACGCCGGCGTGTCAGTTAACAATAGATTTCTTAGAATTTTAATTAATGTTTTAGAAATTTACCTGGAGATGTTAAATAAATATCAAACTAGGAAAATATTGATAGCCTTGACAGATGATATAACAAAAAATTATTTGGATGATGAACAAAACCTTCAGTTTTCACAAAACTTACTGCTATATTGGCAGTCCACAAAACTTACTGCTACATTGGCAGAACCCAGATGATAAATAAATTAACACCATTCTACACAGCAAAGAATATCATCGCAAATGTGTGAAACTTGTATAAAAACCAGATCAAGGAGGAAGTCAAAATATAGCTTAATGACACATTTAGGTCCAGCAACACGCCCCTTTGAAATAATTTCTATTGATACCATTGGTGGCTTGGAGGATCACGGTCAACAAAAAAGTACTTACATCTTCTGGTTGATCATTTCACAAGGTTTGCTTATATTTTGACATCAAGAAATTAAAGCGCCAGTGAGTTTATTAAATTAATAAAAAAAGTGACACAAAATTATATTGACACAAAATTATATTGATATGGTTTTAACGGACCTGGTATAAATTCCAACGAATTTAAAGAATTTCTTAGGCGCAAGAAAACATAAGAATGGTTTTCACAACTGTTAATACAACATTTTCAAACGGACTTAATGAAAGGCTAAATCAAATCTTGGTCAACAAGATAAGATGCAAAATAAATGAAAGTGATAAAAAAAAAACAGCATGGACTACTATTACTCAGAAATGTGCAGAAAAATATACTGAAACAGAACACACAGTCACAGGGTTTGCTCCAAAATACCTTTTGGAAGGTTTGGAGAAGGAATCTGAATATTCTACCACTAGAATTGAAGTCAAAATGTACAAAAGAAGATCTGAAAAGAAATCGAAAACTAGCTCTTGAAAAGGCAATAAAATCTCACAATTATAATAAAAAGATATTCGACCTGCATAGGGAAGAATATAAATTAGAAGTAGGAGACATAGTCTATGTGGAAAACGGAAATGAACTAAATAGAAAGAAAATAGATGAATTGAGGATGGCCCATATAAAATTCTGAAGAAGATTTCCAATTCAATCTATGAAGTTGATACCAGACACAAAAAGACGGAATCAAACTTCTACCACATTACAAAATTGTCTCCAGTGTTCGTTAGTAAAAGAACAATTACGTACTTGTAATTGTTTATTTCTAAGGGGGGAGAGGTAAAGAAAACCACTTTATATGCGAGTGCTTTTCATAAATAATATTTACTACATAAATACTTTTTAATACATTCCAAATTTACTTTTGACTTTTTTATTTCTTTTTTATTTTTGGCATTTAATAGAATAATTATTGATATATGAAATTACAAATTTTCCTTATTGTAATATGTTAAGATATACAAAGATTTGAAATAGAGGCTTTAAATGTAGTTTCTATTATTGTTTCAGAAACGCAATTAAGTCTTTATTTTTAAATATGAGAGTAATATCATCTATTTATATATATAAAAATGAATCCCTATTTCCCTTGGTCACGCCATCACACGTGAACGGATGGACCGATTTAACTATTTTTTTGTTGTGTTTGTTATTGTCAGGAGAAAAAATTTAAAAAATTGCGCGGAAAATTATAAAATTTAAGAATACTTAACAACCATAATAAAATTTTATGGCTAACGCTGGGTAATAACTATTTATATATATTTTAAATGTACCTAGCGACGAACCCAACCAAAGCGAGGGTGAGCCTCTAGTTATATATATATATTTCTTTGTTTTGTTTAATTGACACAGTTTATTCTCGCCCGTTTCCAAACCGAATAAAGCTATATTCTTAATTCGGCTCTATGATCTCTACCTCTTCTAGGCAAGGATCGTATTTTGATGTCGTCGTATGTGTGTCGTTGAATGTTTTTTATAAAATACTTTTTTGCCTGACTCTAACCATGTTGGCATGGATTGACCCCTAGATGATCTTCTTGGATGAGATAACATACGTTCATGAGGCGTTTCATTCGTTGCTGTGCACAATAAGGATCTGATACTATGTAATGCTTGTGTTAGTAATAGGTAGATCCTTAGTTTTCAAAGCAAGTCGGACAGTTTGCCATAGAGTGGCATTAAGACGTTAAACTTGTCCATTCCCTCGTGGATTATAAGGCGCTGAGCTACTGATGTCAATACCTTTATTCATTAAAAAGTCTCTTATTTCTGTAAACATAAACGCCGTACCTTGATCTGTGTGCACATATGCAGACATACCGAAAATAGAGAATAAGTCAGTGAGACAACGAATACGCTGAGGAGGTGTCTGGGTATGCGTATTGAAATGGGAATCTCAAATATTCTTCAATTATCGTCAAAATAAAGTTACTACTATACTTGTGGACGAAGGAATAGGACCTTTAAAATCTAAGGCTAATCTTTCAAAGGGCGATGTCACCTTAAGGGTCCCCTTGTATTTACAAAATGTTGGCTTTATTTCTGCGCATACTGGACAAGATGTGACAACTTTCTTTATCTCGTCGATAGAAAAAGGTAAATTTTTGTGTTTTACCCAATGATTTAAGCGCGTCACACCTGGATGACAGAGAGACTGATGGAATTCTTTTAGATTATTGATTGTTACCGAGGCGCATATTTGGCGTGATAATGCATCAGCAACAATATTTTGTCTTATGGGTCTATATTTTATATCAAAATTATAGTTGGTTAGTTCTAATCTCCATCTTTGAATGTTCTCATTCTTAATTTTACTAGCATGGCCGTTTAACTTAAAGGCTACAGATTTTTGGTCAGTTATTAGATAAAATTGTCTACCCAGTAAATAATGTCTCCATTTTTTAAGACTTTCTATAATAGCATAGGCTTCCTTTTCTATTGTTGGATATTTCGTCTCACATTGATTCAGAGACCGAGAAAAGAAAGCAATTGGCCTGCCATTCTGTGTAAGCGAAGCTGCAATAGACAAATCGGATGCATCAGTTTCTACAGTAAAAAATTCTTTACGATCAATAGCGACTAATGAGGACCGTGATATAATATTTTTTAGTTCTTCGAATGTAGCTTTTTGTATCGTGTTCGTTGGAAATTTTTCTATTAGTACAAGTGGATGTAATTTTTCCGAAAAGTTTTGTATCCATTTGGAATAATGAGAGAACCAATAGCGCGTTTTAGAGATGAAGAATATTCCGAAATTGGCATATTTAATAGCGCCTGTAAACGATCTGGATCAGGTTTAACGATGCCATAACATGTATTATAGCCCAAGATATTCATTTCTTTTAAGGAATATTCACTGTTATCCTTGTTAATAGTTAAATTATAATCTTATTTTTTTTGTTCATTCATAAATTTCTGTAATTTAGCATCGTGATCGTTTTGATCGACCCCACATATTGTGATGTCATCTTAATATGGGTAAACACCTTCAATTTTTGATTTTCGAATTATAGTATCGATCGCTCTTTGAAAATAAGACACACCATTTGTCACTTCAAAAGGAATTCTGCGGAACTGATACAAATTTCCACATGCTTCAAAAGACGGCTAGGGTTTATTTTTATTTAGAATAGGTATCTTACGATAAGCTGATTTTAAATCTATTTTAGAAAAGACGTTGTATTGAGACACTTTAGATACCACTGTTTCAATATTAGGTAGAGGATAAGCGTCTAGATACGTGTACCTGTTGATGGTCTGCGAGTAGTCTATACACATTCGTTTTTTATAATGAGTCCCCGATGTCACAAGTACCTGAGCACGCCACGGTGAAGTACTTTCTTCGATGATCCCGTCAAATAACAACTTCTTTACTTCCGATTCTATAAAATCTGCGTCTTCTGATGAGAATTTTCTAGATTTAATAGCTACTGGTTTTATTTCATTACATTTATGAGGAAATAAGTTTATTGGTTCTATAGCTACCTCTTTCAGAGCTCATACTCTCAAAGGAGGCTTGGAACCATCAAATTTTATTTCTAAAGAGCTGTAAAGTTTTAAAATATCTTGACCTAATATAACATCCATGCATAATTTATCTACGACTCTTAGTAACATATTATGAAATTTTTGATCATTTATTTGAAGAGTAACCAAACATGCACATTTTATTTCAGATTTTAAGGACGTTGTTGTCATTAAAACATTTTGCTGCCAGGGTTGAGTTGGTATATTAATTTGACGAACAATATCTTCATTAATGAAACTAACAGTACTTCCAGTATCGCCTAACGTTATTAGTGGCATTTCGTTAACCAAAATATTTATGGAACACGTTTGTAATCCTGTAGCAGCCATTATTGTACTAGAAGACTGTTCGTCCGTAGTTGCCACAAAAAGACTTTTACAGACATTAGCAAAATGTCCTTGTTTACCACACTTGAGTCAAGTAACATTTGCTGCTGGAAATAAACGTCTCGGATGGAGAGAATTATCACAATAATAGCATTTATTCAATTTTTGTTTTGACTTTATTACGTTATATCTAGAAAGTTTAGATGTAGCTGCTGATAATGATGAAGCATTTAGATTTGAATAACTATCTGCTTGAATTTGTGCCGATTCCAGAGCCCTAGCTTGATCTACGGCATCTCCAAGGTTTATTTCTAGATTTTCGAGTATTTTTGTCGTATAGATGATGAAATAAGGCCCGATATAAATGCTTCTCTGATAGAGTCATTTTCATTCTGAATAGCGGACACCGCTTTAAAATCACAATCTTTAGCTAGTAAATGTAGTGCTTGTATGTATTGATCTATAGATTCTCCTGTCTGTTGGATGCGTGTATTGAGCTTATGGCGAGCAAAAAGTATATTTTTGGGTTTTACGAAAATATTTTCTACTTGACATAGCAGAGTTAAATGTTTAATGATACATTGTTAACTAACATTTTGTTCTTGGGTCGATATTTTTGATTCTTCTAAAAAACTTTCGAAGGTTTTTCTCCAATGTATCCATTTCGACGAAGCATTTGTCTCCGTGGACGGTTCGACTTCGAATCTATCAGGCTTGAGATATCGATATATTATAGATTTATTTTGGCGTTCTATTAAAGATGAATAAATTGTTGGGATTGAAAGATTGCCTGTCTATAAATTAGGCTTTATTCATCTTTAAAAATACTACATAACAATTAAGTTAGAGACTATTATAAAATACATATGACAGTTATGTTTCTAATACATATATTATATAAATAAGCGGCCAGTATTATTACTACATTTAGTATTAAATTTACTACAAAAAGTTCCATTGAGTCGAATTTCTATCTTCAATATTTGATTTGTTGTATAGATTTGAAGTTCAAATTTACAATTTTTTGCATTTTTAGCTAAACTGTAAGAGTTAGAGAAAAATGCTAAATAGAAAATTTGTAGGACAATTAAAATCCTAGAAAAAAGTCACCGTCAAATGTGTTATATCATCAATAACAACAAAGTTACAGGCTCACGAATATTTATTTTTTCAAATTTTTGCTTTTACGAACTGAAATATCGTTAAATTAACAAAAAAATGTTACAAATTTACAATTAAATAAAATTTGCAACATATATATATATATATATATATATATATATATAACTTATATGTATGGAAGTTAAATTTTAATCAATATACTATAATGTTAACTATAGACACGATCTACTAATCCATACAGCCGTCTAACGAAGGCAGGGTGTTGTAGTGGCGAGTTGATCGGTGGATGACCGTAATATTTACATTTTCATGATAGTTGGAAAACAGCTTTAGGGTCAACGTGCATAGCCGTTGCTTGCGACGAGATTATTATTACTATAGTGATTTAACATCGGAACCGTTCGCCATAAAAATTACTATTTTTTGACATCCCTTGCATTTGACAACATTTCTGTTAAAATCAATAATATCAAAGCATTTCCATACTGTGTTGTGTTATGTGTGCTGTGGTCATGGTTACTCATTTAAAGTAACTCAAGTATATAAAAACAAAATTTTTGCTTTTTAAAGTAATTAAAGAATTTTATAAACTCAATCATTGATAAATAAATATTAAATGAATCTATATTATAAAGTAGAAAATTAAAAGCATACTTTTGCTGAGAAATGTTCTCAAAATATAAGATGTTTTACCTTGATCTTCCAAAATTGCCGCCATTTCCAATGCCACCATTACACCACTTTCATAACCCAGTAAGTAAAATTTATTCTTCAACTGTGCCTTTTTGAGAAGGGTCTGTAAATAAGGCAAAGAATTTGATAAATAGTGAATACCAATAAAGACATTATGATTAATGTATATATTTTTTTCGTGGTAGCTGATTAGCCCATATCACTCAATGTGAAAGTATGTTTGTTTTTTGTTTGTTTGTTAGTTTGTCCTTCTTTCACGTCGAGGCGGAGTGACGGATTGGTGTGATTTTTTGTGTGGAGATAATTGGAAGGCTGGACAGTGACATAGGATATTTTTTACCGCGGGAGATTATCTAATTCCCACGGGAAAACACGTTAAAATACTGTGGGTGACCGAATGCATAGTAAGCATTTCACCTGCGCGCGAGTTTTATACTCGTATGAAAGAATAATAACCAGTTGTCTACGCGCCACAGTTCTGACGACACGTGTAATAAATAAATGATTTTCTTATTCTTTGGGTGTAGGAATATTATTTACATGAACACGCAATTAGTTATAGTGACTCTCGTAAGCAAGTATTTTTATAAATAACTAATAATCCCAAAAATACAATCCAAAAAATATTTATGATCAGAATTACTTGAAACTTGGTATTAATCCTCTTAAATAAAATTAAATATATTATATATGTTTAGCTTTTTTCGAAATTCATCCTATAAGGTGGTAAAATAGGCATCAAAGTTTGTGTGAAACTATCTTTTTAGAGATTTTTTTGTAGTTTAAGCACGAGTGAAGCCGCGGATTCTGCTAGTAAACTATAAATATTCATGCTTGCATTGTAATTCATATGCTACATATTGATTTGACTAATTCAGTGTACATATCAAAATTGAAGTAACTACAATGAATTCACTAAAACTTTTCTTTTTTTCTAAAGCTTCGGAACTAAATTATTTACTAACCTTTGCAAATTTGTCAGCCATTTCTTGAATGGTTTCGTTAGGTCTAACAAGGCCTGGCTGCAACACGAGAGCACCCAACTTGAGGCGCTCACACAGAATTCTGAAACGTGAATGAAGACCTTCTACTCCGGGTACCACGCACAAGTACGTTTGATTTACATCAAATTCATCTTCACGCTGAAATGTTATACATATTACGGCCATAAAATAGTCGCTCACGATAAGACTGGTTGGTACGTATGAATAGATTAAACTAAACAAACAATAAATATCAGCACGGCATCTAGCAATGAGCAGCAGTTTATGTTACTATTTTAGTTTGCACTTGAGTAATTAATTAAAATTATTCGTCATGTCACTTGCCATGATTAAAACAACCTAACAATTATAAATAGGTATTTAAAGTTCTCTTTTAGATATGCTTATATAACGACCTCCAAAAAATATTTTGGAAACAAACCCTTTATCATTTTGCTGATATATTATGTTTGTTTAAGAATCGTCTATCTATAAAAAATTTCTTCATGCGCCATATTTCTGGAAAACAAAATTCGGTGGCATTATCACAAACGTTCTGTCCTTTTTTGATGTTGATGTATTTCGTCTTATTTTACTATATACAACGTTGTTATTGTGACTTGGTAACTCTTGGTAATTAGACTTAAACAATACAAGCGAGTCAACTTCGCTCCGCTCGGGTTCGTCTCTAAGCACGACTTACCGGTTGGGTATAGAATAGACTATATAATAGTAGGGTATAGAGTAGACTATAGAATAGCTTTATATATCCATACTAATATTAAATGCTAAAGTATCTGTTTGTCTGTCTGTTACCTTTTCACGCTTAATTCGCTGAACCGATTTTGATCAAATTTAGAATAAAGATAGTTCGAGACCCTGGGAAGGACGTAGGATAATTTTTATCCCGGAAATCATCCCTTAAGGGGGCGGACATGGGGGTGGTAGGTCGAATAGAGAATCAACAATTTCTCAAGTAAGAGATATAATTTTTTTTTATTTTTAAAATACCAACTTTTTTTACCTATGTATGTGCATTGTATGAGGAGGATTTAGTTACCTTTTTCTGTTATGAAACCTTATTATTGTTTAAAGTCACTATGTTCTTTAATTTACTTTTTATTGCTTATTTTGAATTTAGAGCAGAGATTTAGTCTCGAGCGAGGTCGAGACGCCATCACGACATTCTTTGCAGATACGTGGTTTAGTAATAGATCATGATGTAGCATACAGTTTTGCTTTGATATAGTAGTTGGAAGTCGATGATCGGTGACTGTGAACCCGCTAGCTCTAAATCATTAGAATTACCGTTTCAAGTTTATAACATTGTGACTTCCCTGATTAAATTGTGTATTGAGCACTGAATACTTTATTATTTCAGCCCTGATAACGCCCACAAGATGAGTAACCACTAAAGATGATATTCGTAGTATATGGATAACACGACATATATATATATATATATATACATATATATATATATATATATATATATATATACATATAAAAGGCTTTGTCTTGACTGACTGATGGATCAACGCACAGTCTAAACTGCTGGTCGTGGAAATTTGAAGTACATATTACTTATAATGTAGGCATCCGTTGAGAAAGTATTTTTTGAAATTCATTCTCTAAGGGAATAAAATAGAGGATGAAAGATTGTACGAAACTCTGTTATTCTTAACGCGAAATGCACAAAAGGTGGTATTTAGCTTTAAGAGGAAAAATAATAGATATATCTATTAGATTTCTTGGAAATTCATCCCTTAGAAGAGTAATAGGGGTGATAAAGTTTATATGGGCAAAAACTTATTTATGATCAGAGTTACATAAAACTCTGAAAGTCTGTATTAATGCTCTTCAATACAATTAAATAAATACGTGTTTTAGATTTTTTCGAAATTCGGCCACTTAGGGGGTAAATATGGATGGCTTCGGCCCACCATAATGTGAATAAGCAAGCTACATATGTAACACGACTCGACTGTGATAATGCATAAAACATTATAGTGGCCACTTCTTCATACTTTGAATACCAATGATAACCTCTGACTACGTCTTTGAATTCATCTTAAAGTTTGATTTGCAATAACCATTAATAAAAATTAGGGCCAGTCGTTAAGAATAGCAGGCATTGACTAAAGAGAGTATTGCTTCTCACGTGGACATTTTAGCAGAACCCAGAACTACACAGTACATCCAACAATGTGGTATACAAAGAAGTTCTTAATTAAATTCTAACTTCCTGTTCGGGATAATACTTTCTTAGATTGATGCGAATATATTTATATTTTAAATACAACTATATTCACGAATTCATCGCGGATTTACTTTGATTTTAGGTCCCCACTTTTCGAATGCTTTACAGCAATCATAGTCACGGGAGAGACTAAGGTGTTAGATGTCTCAAAGGCATTATATAGTTGTTACAGACAATAATTACAATATTTGTTAATTTTAAACATTTTTCTAATTTTCATTATATTTTAATTCCTGTTCGGAACTTTTATAGCGTAGACTAAGTTAAGTAAATCCAAGGTGATTGTAAGTCTAAATATACACAATATAAAAAAGTTGATTTTATATCATAAAAATTCAATGGAAATTAAAGTTGAGCATTTTAAGCTATTGCATAGCTTCTATCGCGGGCTTTGAGCGTGGGGACCGAATCCAGAAATTCCGTAACGAAAAAACCTAACACCCCCCACTCCGACCGGCACAGCGGTGATACTTTTTTTTCCATCTATCGATAAAAACCAGAACTTTTAATGACTTTTTGTAATATCACGCTTGTCTCTTTAGTTCAGCAACCCGCCTTTAGGTGGCATTGGTTGTATTGGAAAACTACCGTAATTAGCTGTTTGTGAGAAAGTATATAGGTGTATAGGTTAGGTTAGGTTAGGGTTCCCCCCCCAACGTGCGTTCACCTTGTCGTGGTGGGGGGGCTCAGTAGTGCCCGGCATTCAACCGGGCGCGAAGCTAAGAAACGCACAGGGAGGTTGCTCACTTCGGTGGGCGGTGGGAGGTGGCCCTCTTCGGGGGGGGCGGTGTACCTTGCGGGTTGCTCTTGGTACTTCTCTGATAGCAGAGTGGATCTTGGAGCAACCCCATGGTTGTGGTGGTCTGCTTAGGCAGACCTGCCGTCGGGGCGTCGTAGTTGAATGCGTAAGCGATCCTGCGACGCCTCATTAAGACGGGGGAAGGTTTTGTTGGGTTTTAGTGGGTAGTACTGGCTGTATTACGCCGGTGAGTCCCACACGTCGTGCGTAAATGCATTTCCCAACGTTAAAAAAAAAGGTTAGGTTAGGGTTTATCATCTATCTACAACAGTGAATATCTGTACTCGTATAATTTGTGTACAAAGTGTTTTAAATATGAATAAACAAAGTGCATTTATTAATGAAGAAAGTCATGAAAAAATAGTGAAAGAAAATGAGTTAGTACTCTATATACATTCATTTTATTATTAGTACCTGGGCGACCGTCCTTGCTCGGAGGGTTTGGCCAAAAAAAAAACATTAAAAAAAACAAACTAAGAATTTGAAATTATAATTGCATAAGTTGATAAAAAATGCTATGCAATAGCTTTACCGCGGCAGTCTCCGAGTGCCACACGTCTTTATTTTTAGTACACGCGATCCGTAACCGCGGCCAGAAATTTACAACAAAATAAGAATGACACACGGAAAAATTTTTCCCACAAAAAAACTTTACAACAAAAATGATGTTTTTATTCAAAAATAAGCCTATGGAAGTTTTTTAATGTTTCGATAATTCAGTGTAAGAACGAATTAAAAGAGATTTTTAAGCTATTAAAAATGACAGTTTCAGACAAACTTTCATCCCCTATTTTACCCTCTTAGAGGACTAATTTCAAAAATCATTACTTAAATGATGCCTACAGTATAAAATTTAAATCCTCTCAAAATTTTAAATGATTATCATGATTGGTTTGGGCTGAACGTTGACAAGTTAGTCAGTGAGTTGCGACATTTCCTTTTATATACAAAAAATAGGTATTACGAGTGTACCTTGGAGAAAGACATATGATATTAGACTTTTCTGTAGGCCTTTTTAAGACCTACAATTTTTAATAGATTGTTTTGATGTATCTCTTAAGACTTAGCCAGCGTTAGCTATATAAATTTCTAAGGATGACTCCATAGAACTAGTTATTGTGTTTTCCTGTAGGAAATAAACCTTTTTCCTGTAGTAAAAGGTGTCATAAATGTTAACGCGAGTAATAATCACTATACAAAATTTTGTTAAAGTCGGTTCAGTACTTTTTTCGTGAAATCCATACACCAAAACAGACAAACAGATTTTTTTTGATAACTATTGTTTTTAGGTCTATATTCTTTACACGATTCGTTATAGTCATTGCTTTTAAAAAAAATATTTCATGTTTAGATTTCTAAGTGACTGTTTTACTTTATGTACCTATACTATTTACTGCAAACATAAGTACAAAGTTCATCTTTTGGTTTAGTAGACGTTGATGATTAATTGTAGGTCAAACACAAAACACACAAAAAATGTTTACTTACCATCGATGAACTGTTTATCAGTGTCGGTAAGAACACCATTTCAGTTGTGGCAAGTAGCTCATCATTATCTATGTTTGACCAGAACGTGTCGAATCCTTTAGTTTCTTTATACTCTTTTTCTATAATCTTATCTTCCAATTGACGAAGTCTAATAAAACATATAACGTAAATATAGTAAAATATGCAACATAATTATTATGTAACTATTAAAACTAGTAATCATTCGGTATTCGAAAATCTCATTAAAAAAAAATCATAAAATTCAATTAGTATAATATAGACTTTATTTGCCTAGGCCAAAGGTTGTCTGTAACAAATTGCTAATTAATTAGCGATAAAACCGCCTTTTTTGCACGTTCTTTCAGATACTTTGTTTTAAGGTTGGACGCAGGGCCGGATTTAGGGGTGTGGAGGCCCCGGGGCAACAAAGGAGTGAAGGCCCCTAATTATTTTCCGAATAAAATTTTTAAGTCAAGTGTTTTAAGTATTTATTGCACAATAAATGAAATTATTTTCAATAAACATATGTAGATCAAATGCAAGAATTATTCGAAATTAAATTACAGTGTTAATGAATGGAATCTTGCGAGCTTTTATCGATGAAAAATCGTTGATGATTTCGCTGCTTTCGCTCGACTTAATGCAAGCATAAATAATATCTATGAATAAAGTTACTTTTCAATTAAGCAAAAAAAGCAAACATCTACATTATATAATATCAACAACATTCAGCAGCAACAGCATATAATAAAAAAAAATCACTTGTTTTAACGTGATATACTATATGATTTTTTTTAAATTTAAATATGGTGGATTAGGGTGTATTTAAGAGTTTCAAAATGAAACTCCAATCAACGGGAGTTTTTCCTTCCTTAGCTTTTCTTACTAGTTGCCTCTTCTATGGCTATCCGACGAATGGTGCACAGTGAGCAAAATCTCGTTTTTTTCATTTCTAATTAACAATCTTATTAGAGTGAATCTAAATTCTTATCGTATTGTACATTAAAGGGACGTGACTTAAGCTTGATTCTGCTATCGCGACGTGTAAACTCGTCGTCCATAACATACATCATCAATTTAAATATTATATTGTATATAAATTTGTATAACTCTATATCAATTTTATTGTGGGTGGGTGATATTTTGATTGTGGGTGAATTCAATAAATTAATGATTAAAAAAATGCAGTTATTTTATCTATAAGTACAGGTTAATAAAATTGAAATGTTCTGTTTGTAATGTCAAAACAACAGTTTTTTACTTAATGCATAAGTACCTGGGCCACCGAGCTTTGCTCGGAGTTTTATGCTAAAAAGTACAATTTTCTTTAAAAAAAAACTAAAAACTTGAATACATATTAAAAACACAAAAACTTTTTAACAAAAAATAAAAACCGACTTCCAGGCACTAAAATGTAAAAAATAACCAAACGGAGGTTTTCATTTAGAATAGATACCTAATCAGATATTTTCGAAGTCGGTGCCAGCCAATGCAAAGCAAATCTAATATATTTCGTTATGTAAAATATATATTTACCTTTTAAACAAAACTATCTTTTCGGATTATTTCGCGGATTTATTTTGATTTTTGGTTCCCGACGTTTCGAATGCTTTACAGCAATCATGGTCACGGAAGAGACTGCGGTGTTAGATGTCTCAAAGGTATAGTTGTTACAGACAGCCTAGCCACAATTAACAAAATGAAAAATGGCACCAAGTACCTTACAATATTTTATAACTTTAAACATTTTTATAATTATACATACATTGTTATACTTAATGCATAATATAAATGCATATACATTGATATACTTAATGCATAATATAAATGCATATACATTGATATACTTAATGCATAATATACGGAATAAATTTCGGAATGAATTTTCTTTTTGTTTCTTCCGGCTAATCTCCGAAACGGCAAAATCAGGCTTCCGAACAAAAAATTAAAGTCCATGAAATTGTGAACAAAATCCGTGTACCTAGGGACGCACCGGAGCGACACGAGGATAATTCGCTAGTTGACAATATGTGTTAATTTTTTTGTAATAAAAGGTTAAGTCCCCATGAGTTCTTTGTTTACCTTTAGTTAACTACGTAAACCTATGGAGTAGATATAGGAAAATATTATTTTTAAGTGCATGCACATTTGATGATAATATTGCAGACCGTAAAATTATAAAACAAATGAACTCGCGCAGAACCAAAAAAACGCATGATTATAATTAATTAATCATAATCCCTCTGTAACCTCTTTTTACCTGACTGCGATGAACTGCGGTGAACGAATATTATAGATTATTTATTAAAAACAATTTGTTTTTAATATTTAAGAATAATATAGTCATACATATTTGTACAAGTATTATAGGTTAAAGTGAGAAAAAAATTGAAAAAATTGTCCAGTCAGAATTTGATTTTTTTAATTTCTTTTGTGGGGGCCCCTCTCTTGTGGAGGCCCCGGGGCTCTAGCCCCGGTTGCCCTCCCCTAAATCCAGCCCTGGTTGGACGTTATTGAGGTATTTTTTTTGTCAAAGTTACATAGATAACCTGTAAACTTCCTAAAAAAAGACTACAATATGAAAAAAATAATATTTATAGTGCTATGTGACATAAATCCGCATTTAAGTAACGCTTATCATAGACTCATCTACATACTAGCGGCTAACCCTCGCTTCGCTCGGGTTGGACGCTAGCTACGTTTTAAATAGATATAAATAGTTATTAGCCCGCGCTAGCCATATAAATTTTAATTTTTTTTGTTAATAATATTGACAAATATTGACATTAATATTTATACGATACTAACGTCACTCAATTGTTTTGCCTTCCCGGAACCTCTCCACTAACACTTAAACTTTATGGTATGGTATTAAAGTTCAAATTGACTTTTAAGTATTATTATGAATCTTTTGTATGGGAGTATAGAAAAGTTTTGTTTTTAGACTTTTTCATGCAATTTATAATATTTTTCTCCATCCTCGTACTTCAAGGAATATTCTAAAAAAAGAATTAGCGAAATCGGTTCAGCTGCTCTCGAGGTTTGCGCTTACCAACACATTCAGCGATTCATTTTTATATTATATAAGATGTATGTCAAATATACCTACATGAAACAAATAGTCTTTTTGGATGTGATTTTACAGTTCAAAATACAAGTTTAATTATACACAGTACCTGGGCGACCGAGCTTCGCTCGGGGTTTTTGGCCAAAGGTACAATTTTCATGTAAATCGTTGGAGCTGTTTCCGAGATTCAGATTATATATATAGATAGATAAATAGAAAATTGACTCAATGGAAGTTTTTGTAGTAAATTTAATACTGAAAATGGCCCATTCATTAAGTTTTTTGAAAAATATTTTCGTCACAGTTTGCAGGACAAAAAAGTGTTAAAAATCATATTTTCCATGTAATTTGTATGGGAAAACTTAAAATTCGATGGGGAACCTCTTAGAATTGCTTTTAACAGGAGCTTTGTTGGGACATTTTCTGAGATATTTTGGGGTGAGGGCAAAGAAAAAAAAATATCGTCATTTTTGGCACATCCTAATATATATATATACAAGAATTGCTCGTTTAAATATATTAGATATGGAACAAATGGATGAGATGATTTTCTTTATTGGCTGTATATGTTAGATTACCCCGATTTATTTAAAGAAAAACTTATGATTCCTACGAGTAAAACCTGATATTTTTACAACTTAAGAGTCCCGTGCGATTAGTCGACGATATTAATTAGAATCGATATGCTTAAATAATAAAATGTCCAGATTTTCCTCAATTGTCAGATACCTACAATGTTTATTTGAGCGATTTTATCCTTACCATACACTAAAAAAAATATTAAACGCAGCTGTTATTTTTTTTTTAATAAAGGAATGTTTTCTTTGAGTAAACTTTGGTAACTTCAATATTTGAGGTACTTTTACTACATATATTTAATAGTCTTACAAAATACTTACGATTTAATAGATAAGACTGATAAACTATTTTCGTCTAAGAATATGTGACACGTATTATACAAATAAGATCTAAATATTTCTAACTTAGCAGGCTCAATATCCAAATCTGCGATAACAGTACTTTCTGATATATCATCTGATATATTTATGCCTGAAAAGATACATTAACACAATTATTAAAAATCAACTAATTCAAATATCGTCTGAAAAGTATAATAACTGTTTTGGTAAAAAAAGTTATTAAAGGATCTAACCTGCTTTTGAACTTAATTCATGTACCAAGGACACAGCTTGAGATTTTTTTAAGGAATGTATAAGTATAGTACGTTCCTTTAGACAAATTGCTTTTTCAATGGCATCAATGGCATTTACTACTGAAATAGCTTCATCAAATTCATTTTTATTCATCTGAAAATTGTTTCAATGATTTTATAATAGCACTACACTATATGATGAGATTTTAATTAAAATGTAGCTATTAGATAGGTAAAGCATAGTTATGATGTATTTACCTTATGTACCATTTTCAAAGCAGGCAGCTTAATCCAGGTTAATAATTGATTATCAACTTGAGATATGACTGTTCTTTCAAAATCATCTTTTGTGTCGTTAATAATAGCAAAATATCTATAATAAAATTATAAAATTGTTAAAATGTTGTCTCTAATATCTAATTTCATTAAAATAATAACGCTTACTTTAAATTTGAGCATCTTTGCGATATTAGTTTGATCTGCTCCAATATTTCGTAACTATTCTCACTTTTTGAATTTGCTGAAAGTATGTAATATATTCCTTCAATGCCTACGAACGACTTATCTTCAGCTGGTAAATGAATAATGCTATTTAGACTAAACATATTTCCAGGAATCACTTGTACTTGTACTCCTTGCTTAGCCCAAGTTCTAGAAAATTGATTTCCATAATTAATTATAATATTATATATAAAATTATGTATATAATTTATTTTTGTTAATAATAATACGAAATACGTACCGTAATTTTTGGGACAGACAATTTGATGATCCAGTCGAAGACACTAATATTATCTTTCTAGCCCCACGGTTCACTAGTCTGTCTACTAATTTTAATGCTAGCAATTCGTTCTCTGATATTACCAACTGTCGTAGTTGAGTAGAACAAGCTATTCTAAAAAAAATGTTTAGTTTTATCGTTAGTTTTATCGCTTTCATCATCAGTAATAAGACTTCATGAATAAAAAGAATTTTACTTTGTCTGAACATGAGATAGATTCTTTTGTAAGTCGAGTAGTACACGTCCACGATGACGGCTTCTAGCTTGAAGACTGTATGCACGTGTTACATCTTGTGGGGAATATGTCACACGAGACAGTGGCCGGATGTATCCACGGGCAATACCCTCGGTGAGCAGTAATTGCAACTTCTATAAAATTAATTTGTCGTATTAAGTGACAGTGTTTGATTCCTGCTTTTTGCTAAATTTATAGCTTTATAGAAATAAAATAGATGAAACTATTCACGTCAGAAATGAAAATCATTGTAATGAGATTCACAAAGTCGATTTAAACATTAAGTTTTTAAATTTATAGTCATCTATATACTCGTATATATAATTGCTTGTCCTGACTGATTCATCAAAGCATAGCTTAAACCACAGGGGTTAAAAACTTGAAATTTTTATAAAAATTAAAAAATCGACTGCGGTAAAAGCGAACGAAAACGATGGGAACATATGAGATAGGAACATATAAGTTTATAAAGCAACATAGTATTATGCAGCTGGAGACTAACAATGCAGCTATTAGAAAACATGTACATACATATACAGTACTAGGTACTTATGTCTCGACTATAAATTATTTTTTTATTTACAGCTGTTTAGTGTTGGTTAGTTAGACATTTTTACTTTTTACGGCTGGCACCGACTTTGAAAATATCTGATTAGGTATCTATAGTGTATGAAAACTCTCTTTCACTTACTACATGACAGTGTATTTTAATCTATACATATAATAAAAATGTAACGGATCGCTGTCTGTACAAGGAAGATATATGAGAAAAAATATTATTGGGACCTTCACTAAAACATTTAGTGTTCGTTTCATGTCGATCGGTTCATAAATAAAAAAGTTATGCCAATTTAAAGAATCGCTCCGAACATTTGTTAAATCTTAACCATTTTTGTACGGGCTAATCTCCGAAATTGTTGGAATCGATTTAAATGAAATTTTGCATGGTAGTGTATCCCCGGTCAACATTTTGGATACTTTTCATCCCGAAAAATTAAAAAGTTTCTGGGAAGAGTTAAAAAACTATGGTAACTTATACAGCTTATTACACAAAAACTTATGCACCTAATTTAGTAAAATTTGGCACGCTGATACTTTGTTACCGGTCTAACAACAGATTATTTTTTATCCCGGAAAACTGTACGGTTCCCGTGGGATAGATCTGTTTGTGCTTTTGTAGAGGCGAACCTGAGTGAAGCGAGGGTGAGCCGCTAGTGGAAAATAAAACTGCGCAAAATCTTTAGTCCATGCAAGCGTAGCCGAGGACAAAAAGTTTGGCACTTTAAAGTAAATTAAAAAAAGGAGAGAAAGGATGGTAAGTCGCAGGTGTACATAAAATATGAACTTTAAATATAACTTTGATGTTAAAGCCTGTTCATATGTTAGTTAAAAGCCCATATTAGCCGAGTTACATAATTCTTAACGTAAAAGTTGTGTGCAGTTGTATCATTGTACTCTCTACCTCTAACTTTGAAAAGATGAAGTAGAAAACTTGCAAAATACAAATGTAGTGGAGCTTGCTAAAGGATTTAAACGAAAATTAATTTACCGAATATACGTAAAATATCCTTTCAGTTACTGGATATTTTGAGTTACGATCGCAAAATTTTTGGTTTCCATTATATCATTAAAAATAATAAGAAACGCGAAGTCATCTTTGCAATTAATAAAGTATGTATTGCGAAAACATAAAAAAAAATTGTCTGTGTATAATATATTAGTAAAAACAGCACAGTTTTCGGCGGTATGGAACCCTCGATCTGCGAGTCAAAATCGTACTCGATCAATATCAGGCACATTTGAAAATCATTACAGCCATCAAATTATTACTGATAGAATAAACCCAAAGAGATTTTTTTGTAGATTTAGCGCGAGCGAAGCCGCGGGTTCTGCTAGTTTATCTATATAAAATTCAAAGTCCTGACTGACTGATATATCAAAGCACAGCCTACACCGCTGATCCTAGAGACAAGAAATTTAGAGTATCTTTGTAAAATGTAGGTATCCACTAAACCAAAAAAGAGTTTTTTGAAATTCCACCCCCAAGAGGGTGAAATGGGAGGTTGATTTTTGAGGGTGGCCTAAAGCGTGCTAGCGGGAGTGTTTCTTCCTTAATTATTTATAACTTAAAGCCAAAGAATTAGTTTGTTGTAGTTTTAATGCGAGCTTAGCCGCGGGCTCTGCTAGTTCTAACTATAAATTAATATGAACGATTCTGAATTAATATTTTATTATCAGGAAAATACTCGCAGTTCCAACATATACTTTATTTATTTGTACCTGTATATCCTCTTCTTCTTCATGTCCCAACACTGACAATAAGTTCATGGTAAAGTAAGACGTTCCTTTTGCCAAATGTTTCATGCCAAGGTCATAATTTTCCTTAGTCAATAATAAGGCTGTATCAATTACAGTACCTGACGGTTTGCAACACTGAATCGTATTCTGAAATTATTTTGATAAAAGAATCGAATCAATTGATACAGTTATTTATTTGTATTTAAATTTATTGAAAGTTATAATTATATATATATATATATTTAAATATAATCTGAATCTCGGAAACGGCTCCAACGATTTTGCTGTTTGGTATGTGGGAGTTTTCGGGGGTAAAAAATCGATCTAGATTAGTCTTATGTCTGAGAAAACGCCTGTTTTCGAGTTTTCATGCGGTTTTCTTTTGCATTATTCCACACAAAATATGGTCGGTGATTTCGCACGCTCTGGCATAAGTATCGTGACCAAGCGGCAAAGGCGCAAGATCGACTATCACAGGTGTTCAGGTTCGAATCTCGGTCGGATATAAAGTTTTTACTTTTGTTTTTTTTTTTATATTTATTCAAGTTTTTTGTTTAAAAAAAAGAAAATTGTACTCTACCCCAAAAACTCCGAGCGAAGCTCGGTAACCCAGGTACTATCTTCTACATATAAATGGGCAAAACAAAACAGTTTCTTTTTTTGTTTACTATCTAATGATTAGCTTAAGTTATAATAAAAAAAATTAAAAGCAGTTGTTTTTTTATATATAGATAGGTAAATTTTATTTATATATGTTTTACTTAAATTTTCATTAGTTAATATGTTTTATAATTTCGAACACTGGGCAAAATCTAGTATATTTAATTAGTTTTTGTACAAAAAAGATAACTTGTCGCCATTGCTTTTACAATAATTAAGTCTTTCTGTCACTTTGCTCACTTAATAAAACACGATGTTTTGTCAAAACAACTATAAATAAAAACAGTCTTATGGTAAATTGTATCAAATTATTATGGTAAATATATTATATCTGTATACAGTATACTGTATAGCAAACATCATCTAAATTCATTCAATAGTTATGAACAGATATCTCTATCAAAGCTCTATTTATATTATAACACTAATAGTGCTTTTATATATTATAGGTATACTTACATTTTTAAGGGCACCTTTAACACAGCTTATGATTAAATCACAACCTTCACCCTTTGTAGCGTGTAGCACCATATCTCCGAAACTTATATCACGTGAATTTGCAATGTGACTTTCTGAAATACGAACATCATTGATTGTATTTAGAGAATTCTCCTATGTTCATAAAATTTATTTTAAAGAGGATTAATGACCAATCATACTTTTAAGCTCTGGGAAGAGTCTTCGCAGGAATCTCTTTTTCTTGATATCGCTAACAGTAGTGAAAACTTTGCAGCCATATGCCAAAGCAATCGATATAACTGCTTGGCCAAGAGCCCCAGCGCCTCCATGTACCAAAATTGTTATTCCCGGCTTTAGCTTTGCCTTCATACACTGCGGGTAAATATAAAATTGAAAGATAAAATACACTGAAAATTAATATTATATGGGATATAAATATATTAAATAAAATTTGGTACCAAGCAATATAGAGCGAGACAGTAGGCCAATGGAACTGTAGCTGCATCTTCCATAGTCCAGTGTGCTGGCACAGGCCACAGATATTTCGGTTCCACGCTTACATGTGTTCTTATAGATTCATAATTCGCAATTCCCATTACACGAGCTCCGCTATTGAAACGTCAAAGAGATAATTAATGTGTCGGAGACGAGTCATAAACATAACTAATCGAACGCGAGCGCCATTTTTTTGGGCTCGACAGAGTCTACGTCGCGACACTCGACCGGGCTCGGCTGAGTTACGCTTGGTTGGTCGCACAGTGGACACTAGTAGAAACTGTCTTGCGTTCCGTATTGTCTATACGTGGTAATAGTGGAGTGAAGCTATATGGATGTATAGTGAAGTGCTGTGTAACTATGTACAAAGTGATTATTGTAATTTTTTTTTTAAATATATATATATATATATATATATATATATATATATGTTGTTGGGACATTAACATACAGCGCCATCTAGTTTCATAATAAGCTATGAGGCTTGTGTTATGGATACCAGATAGTTGATACACTACACATATGTAACTTTAAATACATACATATTATATCCCTTCCCTTCCCCCCTCGTTTCGGTAGAGAGTAGACGTGAATTATGTTGCGTATTTATTACAACTTTCTGACAATATATTTATTATGTTTTCCTTGTAACATGGAGGTTTAATAAGCGAACATTAAATAAATAACATCTGTTGCCTACTTATGATACTATAGTACATTTTAAACTAATAAAAAGCAATACGAAGGAAGATGCCACTAAATCGCACTCCCCCACCCTCTTCATCCCCTAACTTACAACATCACGCTTCGGAACCTAATATTTCGATGCAAAAAGAAGAAGCTGGTTGTAGTGACATCTCTCAGCTGAACATCACACTGCGGAACAAGCGGAAACACGACACGGAACAGGATTATTTAAAGTCTATAAAAAATGATTTAATGATAATGTTTGAGAAATGGTCGTCGAAACAGGACTCTAGACTTTCTATTATTTTAGACTCAATCGCCGAGCTCAGGACCCAAAATACTGAAATAAAAGCAGCAGTTGAATTTATGTCAGAAAAATATGACCAAGTGCTCTTGAAATTAAAAATATTGGAAGAGGAAAAAATAGAATGTAAAAAATATGTACAAAGCTTAGAAAACAGGATCGAGAGCTTGGAAAGAAACTCGAGGGCTTCTTCTATTGAGATAAAGAATATACCGTACGATACTAAAGAATCGAAGGAGTCTCTTTGCAAGATTGTAGAAAAGACTGCTAATGTATTAAATCTTAATCTGCAACGGTTTGATATCAAAAATATATACAGAATTAATACAAAAAAGGAAAATAAGCCAATTATTTGTGAGTTCTCCACAGTTATAGTGAAAGATAAATTTCTTAATTCTTTAAAAAAATATAATAGGGCGAATAATATTAAACTTAATACACAAAATTTTAATAAAGATTCGGCTTTTAAGCAAATATTTATAACAGAGAACCTCACACAAACTGGAAGAAGACTATTTTTTATGGCACGTGAGTCAGCCAAGAAAAAGGAATATCTTTTTTGCTGGACATCCTCAGGAAAGATCTTTCTCCGTAAAAAGGAGGGTTCACCGCATATTATTATTAATAACGAGAGTGACCTAGAGAATATTAAATGACTAGTGCTTCATTTTTTAACTATTAGTCTAGGATCCAATCTTCTTTTGTATTTTAAGTTAAATAATTGGTTAAGCACATTTATGTTAAACATACATAATAAAACATTCTCTCACATTTACTCATATAACATATTTACACTATACACAGAAATTTTACACACTTACACTATACTTATTCGTTACAAGAACTACTCATACTTAATACTGCGTTACACATTTTGGACTATATTAATAGCTTGTTTTGATGTTTTAGTATCACTTTTTATTGCCATAAAGCTTACAATAATTCTTTTTATAAGTTCAATGAATATAGATATTCGAATGCTTACAGTTTGTGAAACTACTCGATTTTGTTTTATTTATAACCGTACGTTTCTTCATCTTATTAATATATATTTTGAAGATAAGTACAGTAACTTTGTTATAGATACTTTGAATAATTTATAAGTATAAAATTCAACATATCCCACATTAACATATCTAATGATATAGATAACACTGCTGAGATACCATGTATCTCACTGGATGATGAGACAAAATGTTATAGTACATTATCGTTAAATAATAGCCGGAATAGTGATGTAATAATTCTAACAATCAATATACGGAGTTTAAATGCAAATTTCGATAGTCTATTAGTTTTTGTTTCCAAATTAAGAATAGAAATCGACATTATTGTGTTAACAGAATGTTGGATAAACGAAAATTTCATTCCTCCAAATGTAAACAATTTTGTGTCGCACTATACAACAAAAAATATCAACCAGAATGATGGAGTGGTCGCCTACGTAAGGCAAGAATTAAATGCTACCTCCCTTGAACCTAACGTGGTTGAAGGTAATTGTTTGGTATTAAGTATCAATAATAATCTTTCTGCCATATGTACGTATCGACCACCCTGTTTTCGAAATCCAACAAACTTCCTTGAGTCTTTGGATGGCATTTTGAAAAGCTGTTTGACTGAAAATACTATTCTTACTGGTGATATCAATATAGATTTAATGCTCCAAGACCGCAACGATTATGCGGCAAAATATTTAAATCTATTAGCTATGTACGGCCTTAGGCAGGCGGTAGCCCTTCCTACAAGAGATAATTCATGTATAGATCACTTCATGGTAAAATCGACCCATAAATGCCAAACTATTGTTTTTAATAAGTTAACTGATCACTCGCCTATTCTGTTACATATAGAAAAAACAAATCTTGAAAAAAAAAGCTTATGCTTTAAGAAAGTCAAGATTAATTTTGAAGCAATTAAAAATTGTTTAGAATTAGAAACATGGGAGGATCTATATAGCACAAACGATGTAAATATAGCTACAGATTTGCTCATTTCAACATTGCAAGTAACCATTGAACGTAATACAAGTGTTACTACTATTCCTATGCGGAAACGTCCTCTAAAACCATGGATTACTGTAGGTGTTGTTAAATCGATTAGGAAACGTGATAAAATACATAAACGCTTGCGAAAAGATGTCAGTAATGAAGTACTAAAACAAGAATATACAACTTACCGTAATATTTGCAATAAAATTATAAAATCACTAAAAAAAGAATACTATAATAATAAAATAAAACAAAATAGAGATAATATTTTAGAAACGTGGAATATTATAAGGGAAATGTGTAATATAAACAAAAGTAAAGTGTCTCCTACAGAACTACTTAGCATTAAAAACTCGGCTGTAGAATCACTGAATGAAGTGAATAGATTTTTCACTAGAGTTGGAAGTAACCTTGCGAATGAAATTCTACTAAAACTACAAACTGACGAAAGTTCTCTTGCAAAAAAAGCAATCAGAGATAATGCGCCACAAAATTCAATGTCTCTTTATTTTACAGATGAACATGAAATTATGACGATTATCGCAAGACTAAAAAACAATAAATCCCCTGGTATTGACAATATCCCCTCGTCAATCTTGAAAATATTTAGGGAGACTTTGTGTAAACCATTAGCCCACATTTGCAACCTTACCTATGAATATGGTGTATTTCCTAATATACTCAAATCTGCTGTTATTTGCCCAATCTACAAAAGTGGTGACAAAAAAATGCCAACGAACTATAGACCAATATCTTTGCTCAGTGTAGTATATAAAATAATAGAAAAAGCGACAAATAAAAGACTCATTCAATACCTGGACCAAGCTAATGTGCTATGTAACAACCAATATGGTTTTCGACCTAAAATGTCTACAGAAGACGCTGTTTTAAAACTAGCGACTCTCATTAAAGATAATGTTGATAAAGGTGACAAGTGTCTAGCTGTTTTCTTAGATTTACAAAAGGCTTTCGACACTGTGTCAATTCCTATAATGCTAGCCCGTCTTGAGAATATCGGTATTAGGGGTAACGCTTATAATTGGTTTGAAAGCTATCTTACAAATAGAATTCAGAGAGTCCGAGTCGATAATTATATATAGGGACTTGGATTGTGTATCATATGGAGTACCGCAGGGAAGTACATTAGGGCCTACTTTATTTTTAATATACATTAATGAACCCTGTCGGGTAACATTACAGAATGCTAATATTATAATGTACGCAGACGATACAGCTATCTTGTTTCGAGGTAAAAATTGGGATGAGGTTCGCAGACTTACTGAAACAGGCTTATGCACCATAACAACTTGGCTCGAGGATAATTTACTTTCTCTGAATACGAGCAAAACGAAATTTCTTTGCTTTAGCAAAACTAGTCGTGGACATCCCACGAACTTTCAAATTCGCATACACACACATCCTTGTAATCGTGGCTTTTACATGGGAAGTCTTAATTGTAGTTGTAAAGTCCTTACAAGAATAAATAATATAAAATATTTGGGCATCGTTATTGATGATAAACTATCGTGGGCAGAGCATATATCTTTATTGGCTAGGCGTGTAAGAAAACTCATGTTCATTTTTAAAAATATTAGGATTTTATCAGATACTAGAATTATAATACAGACATACAAGGCTTTAGCTGAATCAATTCTAAGTTATTGTATATGTGCTTGGGGTGGAGCTTCGAAAACTAAACTTCTCAACCTCGAACGCGCTCAACGATCACTCTTGAAAGTAGCTCTTTTCCTGCCTTACCGATTCGGAACATCTGAATTATATAAGAGAGCAAATGTTCTTACGATAAGAAAACTATTTATATATCAGTGTATACGTAGATATCATAAGGTTACTGTTCCACTTTTACCTAAAAATAATAAAAGACATGACCGCTGTCCGCTTCCACGAACAAGAAGTGTCTTCGCCCAAAGGCACTATGATACTATTGCTCCATTTATCTATAATAAATTCAATGACCTTTATACTGTGAAAAATCTAAGCAACTATAGAATAAAAGAAATTTTAAAAGAATGGCTAATTAATCTAACGTATGAACTAACTGAAAACATTGTCCTAGTATAAAAATAAATGAATAAATAAAATAAATGCTAATATATACAAATTGTAATAGTAACATAACACACACAAGCATACAACCAAACCCACTCACACAAACGCACACACACACACACACACTCATATACACACTTTTTTTTTCTCTCTGTGTCTTGTAAGTTAGAAGTAATTTATTTAATTTTTAATATATTTTTTTTTTATTTTCTTTTTTCCTTTTTTGTTTACATTAACTTACCTTATTATAACGTAATTTCATGCAATGAATATGTACGCCTAATATGGGAAGGTACTAGCTCCTGAAACACAGTTTTCTAGTTCAGGAGTTAGGGCTGTGTGTATTTGTTACCATTGTGTTGTTTAATAAAGACCGTTTTTTTTATAAATATAAACACCCATGACTGGAGTACAAACATTCGTACTTACACAAATGAATGCCCCCAGCGGGACTCGAACCCGCGACCGCTGGCATAGCAAGTAGGATCACTACAAACTGAGCCAAACGTGTCGTCATAATTTGAAATACTACTTTGATTGCAACGACTTTTATTTGAACCAACACTTCCCGTATAACGCCCACTGTATATGTCATGATAAAATAAAGGAAAGGGATAGGGAAAATTAATGCTGCTTCGACAAATAGTACCTGCCAGTCAAATAAAAATAGGTTTTATAGTATATGTATAATAAAGTAGTTACCTATCAGTAGTTCCACTAAAATCAAAAAGTTGCATGTCTTCTTTATCGCATGAAATAACTCCCATTTTTTTCTGTACTTCAACAACATTTACTCCAGCGTAATGAATCTGTAATATATTGATTAATGTTTACATTGCAATGAGATAAATATTGTATGTGTAACAAAGTGTATTCGATTTTACCTTTATATTTATGCCCGCGATTCTAGGCTCTGGCATTTCTGTCCAATGCAAGGAGTCTAGGTCACCTAACTGTCTAATATTAAGTTCTAATCCAAGACCTTCTTTGCTTAAAGTTTCTTTTGCAGGTAAGTAATATTCTCCGCCCCACGCGCTCTAAAATAATTTATTTGGCCATTAGACCAGGGCCGAAGCCTTCAAAAATGGTAAAAAATGAAAAAAAATTACAGTAGGATGAAACCCATTAGAAAAGCAGGGGAATATGATCAAAATGAAAGGAAAAATAAATTACGGTCGATCCGAGTTCGGGAAGTGGGAGGGGGTGAGTTTTAAGGGTGAAAAACTGTTTATCTTGATTTCCGGCGAAACTACCAGTCCTATGGAAAAAAGTTAAATGGCAAAGTTGTAGGTCATAAAAAGATCTACAACTTTTGTATTTACAATTTTTTCAAATAACCTCAAAATTTAGGTGAAAAATTCAAAAAACCAAGTTTTTGGTTTTTTATTTATATCTTTTTTTAAAAAAAATTTTTTTCTACGAAATTTGGTGAAAACTTACCTTATTATGTCCCAAATATACTGTAATTTATTTGATTAAAAATATTTATTTTTTCGCCTCATTTTAACTTAATATCAAAAAAGCACCCTAATTTTCAATCGAAAATTCTGACGTCAAAATTTCAGCTTTTTTCAAAAAGTTTGGGGGCTTTTTGTTCGTTGAAATATCTACTTTCTGATGGTGTAAAAAAAATATACATTACTATAGGAAATATTATTAGAAAATGCAAAAAATTGAAAAAACCTCAAATTCGAAAAAATTTTTTTAATTACTATGTACAATTTTGAGGTATTTATTAAAATTTACACTTTAATTACTCAAAAAACGTAAGATTTCATGTTTTATTGATAAACGAAAAAATTGCAAATTAAAATATACTTCTATAATTAACAAACAAATAAGTTAATAAAGTTAATATTTAATAAGACATCTACAATATTTTGAAAAAGTTGTAGAATCTTCTTTAAATAATATTTGTAGATGCCTATTTATTGCTGTTTTAAGATAATTTATATACCTGAGTGACCTTCGGTGAATTTTAGCCCATTGTAAGTTATTTCATTGAGAACTGGGGACGGACCTAGGAGGGTCTGGGCCTTACTACATACCTGCTATTTCGCATTTTCTAATAATATTTCCTATAGTAATGTATATTTTTTTTACACCATCAGAAAGTAGATATTTCAACGAACAAAAAGCCCCCAAACTTTTTGAAAAAAGCTGAAATTTTGACGTCAGAATTTTCGATTGAAAATTAGGGTGCTTTTTTGATATTAAGTTAAAATAAGGCGAAAAAATAAATCTTTTTAATCAAATAAATTACAGTATATTTGGGACATAATAAGGTAAGTTTTCACCAAATTTCGTAGAAAAAATTTAAAAAAAAAAAGATATAAATAAAAAACCAAAAACTTGGTTTTTTGAATTTTTCACCTAAATTTTGAGGTTATGTGAAAAAATTGCAAATACAAAAGTTGTAGATCTTTTTATGACCTACAACTTTGCCATTTAACTTTTTTCCCTAGGACTGGTAGTTTCGCCGGAAATCAAGATAAACAGTTTTTCACCCTTAAAAACTCACCCCCTCCCACTTCCCAAACTCGGATCGACCGTAATTTATTTTTCCTTTCATTTTGATCATGTTCCCCTGCTTTTCTAAAGGGTTTCATCCTACTGTATTTTTTTTTGGTTTCAAAAATTATCGACCCTGGTCTACATTGTTAATTGCAGTATATTTCTATCATAACAATAAATACGACAAGAAATATTTTCTCCTTTAATCCTAAAATAATTTTTATAAGTTTTACTCAGTTACTCCTTTTGAAATCAGCTATCTTCTAATGAAAATCCCATCAAAATCAGTCCAGACATTTCGGATATTAGCCGGAACAAACAGACAGAACGGATTTTTTATTATAAGTATTGAGTACCGTATATAATTTAACATGCATTTAGTAAAAAGCTTTGTTATTTTGTCATTACAGACAGACACTTCAATTTTATTTATCTGTATACAAGGATTTAATAATAATTATACTCAAAAATAAAAAAATATAAATGAAACTTACATTATGCAAAATATTAACGGCTAAGTCAGTAAGTGGTATTTTATCCAGTTTCCGGGTACTGGAAAACTCATTATTGATCATGATAAGATTAATTTTGCGGTTATCCTCTTTTCTCCATTTCTTTACAGCTGTTTTTAAAGACGCTAATGGAGGATATGACGTTAATATCACAAGCTTTTGATTTAATTGTATTGCAGTTATTCTTGAAGTAAGTGGAGCAAAATCAGACTCAGTGTAAACTGTTATAGGACTAGTGCTAACATTTAATTCAGTAGGACGCCACAACACTAGTTCTAGAACTGTTGACCCTATTGTATGTGCACAAATACTCTGGTACAGGGATGATGGACGATCCCTCGAAATATCTGCTTTATACTTCTCATAGTTAACTACAAAAGTATTGCATGTAAGAATTTGGTGTAGCATTTGACATAACTGTGGAATTATACAAAATCAACTATTAATAGGCATTAAGCTTATTAAAATATCAAGTATAATAAATATAGCCATAGATATAGACAATTAACTTTGCGTTTGCTTCAAAAATCTGACTACTTTGTAAAACATGACAATATCACTAAGTTTAATTTAATTTTCCACTTTTTTTCAAGTGTCTCTAAAGGTCTCAAGAGTTTTTTTTTTTCAACAATTTTGATTATCTAAATCTATGGGTGGAGTCAAAGTTTTAAGCCAACTTACATCATCATTATTTGACAGCTTTGACACTAACAGCAAATCAACTTCACTCAATAAAGCAGTATTATTTGGATTAAGACTATCTATTGTAATTACTGAATAATTCGCCTGTATTCCAGGAATTTCGGAGAGGATTTGATTAGTATCGACAAAATTAGACACATTATTTTCAATAATTTCTACTATATTTAAATCGTGTTTATTTAAATTTTCTGCAGATATTTGTATATAAATAGAGAGTGCTGACGCTTCCTGAAAAATAATATACATAATATTTATAAATGGCTGTTGCTATTCGTACTTAAAATAAGGACAAATAAAAAATAATTTTGTGTGGTGAGCACAAATTTTTGTACTCCAATCATTGTATGTATGTATTTAATAATAAAATTATATATAATATATAGTAAAGTTATATATATTTTCGCCCGACTATTGTCGGTTTGTACGAATATTTACCACTATTTTATTTTCTAATGTAAAATAAGTGATTTTTAGTTGCAGGAGGTTCTGTATGCAAAAAAAAGTATCCTTAACCTACCCAGCTGAGCTTTGCTATGTACTTATCCTACTTATTTATTAGTCCATTCGTAATTCCTTATAATTTATATATTTTATAAAGGACGAATAGACACTCCGTTATAATATTCTTATTGAAAATGCATCTGTGTTTATAAACAAAATTTATTATTATACATACATCAATTGTGTTTGTAGAAAAGTGAGGAACAAATTTTAAAGCTTTTATTCCAACATTTTTACAGATAGTTGGTAAATCATGAAATCTTATATTTTGCATGATTATGCCACCGCATCTAAAACAAATATTATCATATTAATATTAAAAAAAATATAAAAAAGTATAAATTATAGGTTTTTTTATTGTGCGATAGGCTTGCGCTTGACTACGATCAGCGCTGGGAAGCACTGATGAGGTCTAGGTTAGAGCGCGCTTGCCTAGAGAATGCCTATTCACTCTTGCCTTGAAGGTACTTAAATTATAGGTGGCAGGAAAAACGGACGGAACGGTGCGAGTTGGTTGGATTTCTACCACATAAGGATGCCAGCGCTCACGACTTCTCGCAGCTCTGTGGCAAAACAGTGAAGCAACTAGAACTAAGTTGTGAAGTTCCTGCGCGCACTTCCCAAAGTATATCCGATAGAAGATCGATAGACAGGCGACACTGCATCAATGCAATGGAATAAAACAACTATACCTATAAATTTATAATACCTTGTATAATCATGAACATCAAATATCCTCGCAGGTGTAACTTTTATTCCATGTATTTCATATATTTCATCAAAATGTTCATTTATGTCAATTATTAATTTTCTTACAAAGTGTGGCTGAGAAACCGTTTCATGAATTCTTCTGAGCGCATTTAATTGGAGCATACTGTCAATCATGGCTACCCAATTGTCTTCCCATTTTATATTAGCTTCAGACAATGACAAACTAGCATTGTAAATACTACGAAATACACCCCTGAAAATTTAAGATTTCATTAAAACAGAAGTTGATGCACAATTTTAAAACGTTCCTTCAATTTGTTAGGATACTTACGAATAATTATAATCCCTTATAGAAAAGAGTTTATAAATATCATCTGATTTAAGTAGCATTTCTTCCTTACAATTTATATTAACTTTGTTTTGACTGTGTTTTTTTTTCATTTCTCCAGTTATATAACCTGTTACGATTTTAGTACTTTCATCTAATACCTAAATTATAAGAACATTATAGATAATTAATATGCTAAGTTATTAAGAAAAATCATAAGGTAAATGAATTAAACGATATTTAAATCTACTATCTTACTTCAAAACGGCCACTTCCTCTGTGTAAAGTTATATTTAAACGCAAGTTTCGCTGTTTATGAAGAATTGGTTGTGTAAAGAAATGTATATCAGTAAATTGGACTGACAGCTGTTTCTTCTCTACTCCTAAGACCATTGCCAATGTGTCCCAAACTCCTACGAGTGCTCCAGAAAATGGATACAAGTTCTTTTCTAAAATTAAAACGGTTATTGTTTACACAAAGATATTATTATGTACACACATAAAAATATTTTATTCTAATTAACAGGAGTTTCAAATTAAGATATTTAAATAGGAAGAATAAATTTTAAATTATCACCTCTTATAACATGGCCTTTTAAATATGCGTGATTGTTATCATACGTGGAAATCACAAATTTTGTAGCGGCAGCTATTTTTCTTTGCGCTGATGCATACAAAGGTAAACTCCTGTAACATTTATTTTGTTTATTGTATTAAACTTTAAAAATATATTGGAAAACGTGCTAAGTATTCCCTGTATATAAATAACCTTAGTAATTATGAATGTTTAAGTAAATTATCAGTACAGTATACATAATACTCGTAATATACGATCTATCTAATATTGTAGACCCTCGTGTGCAGTTTCTAGGAAATTAAGGGTGGTTCACGTGCCCTCGGTATGCGGTTCAAATAAATGCCACTTTTACTGGCACCTGGTTGTTAGGGGAGTACTTAACTTACCGGGGGAGAAGCCAACTCCTACCGGGTGCATCCCCAGGTGGCAGATGGGGGAACGCCACCCGCTTAGAGGGTCGGGTGGTACCGGAAAAATCCAGTGCGGACCAAATGGCTTGGTGGGTACGCTCGTCTGGGCCTCGAGCCGAAGGATTCGGCCGAGGACGATATAGTCAGGTATAGAATATAGTCGGGTGCACGTGCACCAACGTCCATACACTGGTGTAGCGGTTGAAATAATTTAGCGGCCGTACAAAGGTCACACGTGAAATTATGACCAAACCTTAGCGGATAAGCACTCAATCACGTTATCTCGATAGGCCTGCCCAGGCAAAATACAATAACCGTAGGTTGCTTCCACGGTCCATAATACTATCAGAGAAGTAACAGGAGCAATCCGCATGGTACACCGCCTACTAAAGTGGACCAACTCCCCGTGTATCTCTTAGCTTCAGGTCCGGCTGGATTGCCAGACGCTAATGAGCCAACCACTAGAAGATGAACACACATCGGAAGGGTTATTATAAGATTAAATTATTATATCCCCTCTCGTCGCGGGCTGTATGTAGAGTCGAGAGTCCGGCGTTTATGCCCAAGAGTTTTAAGACAACGACTAATAGTGCATCCCTTTCTCTCGTCATAAGTATTCCGCCGACCGATGCGAACAGTAAAAGTAGCCCAAACAAATATGAATAAATAACTACATGAATTAAATAATGTCATAATACTAAAAAGTGAAATATTGTTTGATTTTCAAATTAAAATTAGAACTACTACGGGTAGTTTTCATTAACCAGTAATTGGTTCAAAAATTCTTACAGCTTTTTATATTTACCATTTTTCATTATGAGCCCATTCCACTAAATGTGATAACATTGGTGTTCCAGTCGAAACGGGATACTCGATTGTAGGATACAAAGCTTCCACTTTAGGATTAAATCCTTCCATATAAAGTCTGCGAAAGATATATTAATTAATTAATAATACTGACATATTGTCGACATTAAATATCTACATTTTATAAAAGTTTAAATAAATGTTACTAACTTTCCTATAGCTTCTAGCAAGAATAGTGCATTGTCCACGTGACCACGCCTAGTGAGTGGTATGTGCCGACATGAATTAGGTAGAGACCGCTTGACGATGGCTTGCAACAAACCATGTGGTGCGATCTCGATCACCACTGCATTAGCTGGTATTAACCGGGACGTCTCCTCAAAGAGTACCGAATTCTGCATTGAACATTGTTTATATAATAATGATATCAAACTATTAAATATCATATTTTAAATACTTTTTTAAATTTATAAATTTTATTTATAATTCATGTTCTTTTTATTTTATCTTAACCGAAAGTAAATATTTTATTACAAAATATTACTAACCAATAAATTATTTGTATGATATTCAGCTGAAGAATACTTAGCAATTTCTTCTCCCCATCTTTCTTTTGGTACCGAAGTTGACACCCATTTTTCACTACGAGGCTTTGGAGATTTGATGACTTCAGTTAAATATTTAAGTAAGCCGGGACCTTAATAATAAAAGCATAAGAGATACCTCATATTTATTTGAGTGATTATTTATTTGTAAAATATGTAAATAAATATGTTATTATAATTTGTATACTTTACCTGCTTCAGCAATATAGCGCGAGTGATATGCAATATTTGAACATGGCACCTCTTTAGCGAAAATACCTTTGGAAGTTAATTGGGCTACAAATTCTTTCATTACAATCGCTGGTCCTGAGATAGTACTCGAGTTAGGACCGTTATGACATGCTACTTCTATTTCTGGAGGGCACATTTTAACTATCTATAGGAAAGAAATATGAATATGAGTAAAATCTATTAAAAAATAATGCAAAATCAAGTATAAAAAATGTAGTTACTTAATATTGTTATTTTTACCTGTTGGTATCCAACGCCGACGGCAGCCATTGATCCTCTTATGAATGGTGTTTGCAAAGATACTAGACCACGACTATAAGCAGATAAAATCATCTCCTCTGCTGTAAAACAACCATCAGCGTATGCACATCCTAATTCCCCCACACTGTGTCCTGTTAAAAAATTAAAATAATATAAATTTTAGATTAACAGTAATATCTTAAGAATTAGAAAGTTTATCTGGAAATATAATACTAGAATATTAAATACCTATAATCATATCAGGGAAAATCTCCAGTTCTCTTAAAACATCGGTAAGCCCTATTTGAATTGCTGCGATTCCAACAAAGGAGTGTAAGATATTATCAAATATTGTTTTTTCTGTGGAAGTTATGATATATACTATATCAATTCCTTTAGGTTCAAGAGCTCGACGACAACTGTAACATATAAGTTAATTCAATTATTATTTTTCTGTGATTTTAGTTTGTTGAATTAAAGGTATTTTTTCACGTAATATTTTGTTTACCGTTCTATAGCTGCAGCAAAAACTGGTATGCGCATAAGTTGTGTTCCCATTCCAACCCATTGTGAGCCCATTCCACTGTACATGAACCAAAGTGGTCGCTTGACATCATCGAAGTAGTCAGATTTTTCACATAAACTAACCGTTTTACTTTTCTCGTTTGTATCTTAAGTATAAAGAGATATAAAGGTTGATATAATATATTTAAGCAATTATTGAAAAAAAATGCTGGTCATTAAATAGTAAGATATCTTACCAAGAATCGTGTATCCCCTACCCAAGTGACCAAAAATTCTACTTTTGTGAATATTTCGAAGCAAAGCTAACTCCTCGGGATCAACGGGACGTATTTTTAAATCGTTCATTATTTTTATTACTGATGATTCTTGTCTTCCTGAGAGTGTCACTAATTGTGGAATAGTAGCCTTGTAACGAGATAGATCCTTAAACAAAATATTAAATTGTTTAATTACTTTAATAATTGTTGATACTAGGATGAAACAAAAAGTTATAAAACCTTTTTGGGGATAGTTCGATATTCGTTTTCAAGAGTGTTAATTTAACAATATTTATGCTAAGTATCATTTGTTTTTATGTGTTCATTCACACGTAATTAATTATTTTGAACAACGAGTTGCTAAAACGCAAAATTATAGAGAAAAGTGAGTTACGTGCGGTGATAAAGTTACTGTTTTTGAAAAAAATGTCATTGAAGCAATTTTTTCCGAATACTCAGAAACATTAGGAGATAATGCTGTACCCTCTTTTACGGTTGCGTAATGGGTAGCTGAATTTAAAAGAGGTAAAGAGGCTTTTTATTGATTACATGCGAAAACACAAGACGATTACTGGACTCTATCATGCAAATTTAATCCGGCAAGCGCGTGTGAGAATTTACGTTTAAATATAATGTAAAGGAAATAAAAACGGCAATTTAATGTAATATCTTTAATACTTAGAATTCATTATTCAATATATATTTACATGGAAAACTATTGAACATATTAAGCAGTAATTATATATGAAATAAGAAAATAATTATGTATTTTAAAATCAGTTTAATATAACTTAAATATAAATCATAGTAACTAAAGCAATTACATTTATAATTTTACAATTCAAAGTAGCATAGTAACAACAAAAGTGTACTTAACTTGGTTATTGTAGTGCTCCGTACTGTAGTCGATATTAGACTACCGCCCCACCACACAATAAGTCCCTTTTATATCATCCAAATCGAATCAAAAGTCAGACTAATGACAAACATCCTCTCAAAGATTTAGTTTATTTAGTTTTACATTAATTAAAATTCGTTATAATAAATAATAGTATTTATTATATTATTAATACCTTAATACCATTAATAATAATTTATTCACAAATAAAACTGTTTTAATCAACAATAATCAATACACTTCCTTCATAAATATTATAACTTTTTAAATGAATTGACATGTTAAAATTATTATAAAAAAAAGAAAGTTCTTCAAATTGATTTTCTATTGATTAATTAAATGTAAATATTAACTATATGATATGTACATATTCTATTTATTTTGTCACGGCCATACTGACACGTACTTCGTTCTCGAAGTACAACTACACATTTGTTACATAAAAATTAAGCAACTTACAAACTAATACATCTTAACATTGTTATTGTCTCACTTCTCACATTAAGAGGACAACATAACAACGGTCAATTGCTTTGACAACAATTTTATCTAGCCTCACACCTGCTGCACATGAGACAGGCTAGAACAAAGCAAAAGACTTCAACAGTTCAGGCCAACCAAATTTAATCTTCATCTTCCTATACATAAAACAATCACATAATTCATTTATATATGCCATAAATCATTTTAAATCAAAAAAATACACCCACAGTTATTACATTCTCACATACTTAGACATAATTGATATATAATATTATTTACTTATCATACATAATTATATTTAAACATTTCTTTATGTATAAATTAAACAAAATAATATTTTTTAAACTTCAATTTATCCATCTGTTATACTTAAATAGGATCAACCCATTCACCTGACCATAATCTTAATTTGTCTTTTGCTATAATTATGTTCCTTAAATTTCCTATTCCTCTAAGATAATAATATCTATCATTGTTAAGAATTTCAATTATTTCATATGGACCTTTAAACCTTGGGCTCAACTTGTCATGTCGCCTATGATCTTGGTTTACATAAACTATGTTGCCAACCTCAAAAGTTTTATTGTCTCGCCTTACACTATCAAATCGAGTTTTAAATTTATTTGCCTGTTCACATAATCGCTGGTAAGCTAGTTGACGATCTGCTCGTACATCCATGGTACACTCGGTAACAGAAACGTCGTTTAAATGGGCTTGAATACAAGGGATATTTGCATTACAACCAATAAGCAATCGGATAGGAGTAAAACCCGTAGATTTTTGAATTGTGGTATTGATAGACTGTTGGACTTTCCACAATCCGCTCGGCCAATCTGACGAACCATTATACGTGGTGTTTAACATATCGATCACAGTAGTAATATATCGTTCTACCTGGCCATTACCTCTTAGCGTGCCGGTGGCAACCATATGATGGTCTATTTCTAGCTCCCTAAATAAAGATCGAATTTGATTAGAACTAAATTTAGTACCTCTATCAGTTATAACTTTTGATGGAGTGCCGAATATAGTTATAGTATCCCGAATTATTGGAATAAGTTCTTGGGCATTAAGGGTTTTGAGGGGTTTTAGTAAACAAAATTTAGTGAACCCGTCCACCATAAGTAAAATGTATTTATATCCTTCATCTGTTCGTTGAAATGGCCCTGTACAATCTAAATGAACGATGTGGAAGGGTAAAGGAGTTTTGTCAATAGGATGTAAGAAACCTTGTTTTGGACCAGAGTGACCTTTTCGTTCGAGACATATTAAACAATGTTTTAAATATTTTCGGACAAAGACAGCCATTCGAGGAAACCAAAAGTGTTCATTAAGTTTTTTCAATGTCTTATAGAATCCTACATGACAGTTCTGATCATGGAAAAGCTTTAAGAGGGAAAACCTAGATCCTTTTGGCACATACAATTTTGGTTCGTTAGGCTGGGTTTTATAAAACAATAAATTATCCTTTAAAAAATATCGATTTTCATCAAGTTCACCGGATATGACCTGACCTATTAAATTTTGTGTTTCCGGATCATTTTGCTGGGCAATTTCTAACCAAGATTGGTCTTCAACCAAATGAAGGTTTGTTATTTTATTGTTTTTGTGATCATTGGATAATTTCAGATTGCTTGATATCGTAACAGATTTGTGTGGAATAGAATTAGTTACTAATGCAGTAGGGATAATTGACTTGATGGATTCTACAAGATTACGACTAAGGTAGTCTACGTGACTTATGTACTTCCCTTTTTTATAGACAATTTCGAAATCAAAATCTTGAAGAAATGTCCACCAACGAGCAACGCGAGGAGTAAGATCTTTTTTATTAATGGTAGCTTTAATGGAATTAGTCTGTAAAAATTTTGAATTTAAGACCCAAAAGATATACTCTAAAATGTTTTAATGCATTATAGATTGCTAAAGTTTCTAAATCATATGAACAATACTTAGATTCTGCAGGTGACGTTCTTTTACTAAAGTACGCTACAACCCTTTTGGTATTATCAACTCTTTGTACAAGTATGGCTCCATAGCCCAATGAACTAGCGTCTGTATAAAGTTCTGTTGGTAATTTTGGATCAAATACTGTTAACAGTGGTTTGGTGGACAAATGTTTTATGATATAGTCCCTAGCCGCATCCTGTTCAACTGCCCACTCCCATTTTTTGTTATTTTTTGTCAAATTAGTTATACAAGCAGTCCGAGATGCAAAATTTGGAATAAATTTACGAAAATAGCTCGCAAGTCCCATAAACTGCCGTACTTGCTTAACATTATTCGGGACAGCAGAGTTGACTAGGGCAGCTACTTTTGTCCCACTGGGCCGTACACCTTCTTGTGATATAGTAAGACCTAAATATTCAATACTATCAACGAAAAATTTACACTTTTTAAGATTAATTGTAAAACCTGCGTTGCATAATGCCTGAACAGTTTCCTCTAAATAGTACAGACCTTGTTCTATTGTTGTAAATGGAATGAGAATATCATCAATATAAACCAAAAGAAATTTTAGGTGTTGCACAGCTTTTGTGATAGCCCTTTGAAATACAGATGGACCATTACAAATACCAAACGGCATCTTCAAAAATTCGTAATGGCCATCTGGTGTCACAAAAGCCGTGTACTTTATGGAATCTGATGCAACTGGAATTTGATAAAATCCATTTTTCATATCTATGGATATGAAATATCTAGCTTTACCTAATCTATCTATCTGATCTTCGATGAGAGGGAGTGGGAATCTATCTTTTTCCAAAATTTTATTTAGTGCTCGGTAATCTATACATAACCTATCACTGCCATCTTTTTTCTTTACTAGAATTACTGGGTTTGCAAAGGGGGAATCACTTTCACGAATTATTTTTTGCTTCAAAAGTTCTTGAATTATTTCATTGACTTTCTCCCTCTCAATCGGAGCCAAGCGATAGGGTCGATAGTAAACAACTTCATTTTTAACTAAGCGTGATTTTAGTTCACCGGTTTTTACTGTACTAGTTTCATCCAAGACAGAAGCATGTTTATTAAAAATATTTTTTATTTTTTCCTGCAACTCCAAATTTAAATGTTCTATTTTTAAAATTAATTCACTTAATTTAGCTACTTCAGAAAATACATTTACTTCTGTCTCAGTTTCAATTTTCTTTCTAAATAAACGACTGCCTAATGAATCTGTAACGATTTGTATGTCTGGGTATTGAACAGCGTTTCGGCCTATAAGTAGATTGTAATGAAAATCTTGATCTCTGACAACATATATATCAAGTTCTAAACAAACTCATTCACATTGAATAATTACAGTAATAGTAGCAAAAGCATGGATTTTATTTTGTCCTATTCCTGTTAAATAAACAGATATTGGTGATAAGCGGCACCCTAACCTTCTTGCAATCGATTCTCTTATTAAACTACAATTTGCACCTGTATCTATGAGAGATTATACTAGCATATTATTTATTAAAACTCTAGTCAGTTTTAGTTCGGTTTTTCTAAAAAATTGACTTCCTTATTAGGTACTACAGTTACTGAAGAAGAGTTAGCCGATTCAGCTCTTTACTTATGGAAGCAAATTGTTTCCGTATGACCAATCTTTTTGCAATAGGCACAAACTTTCAAACGAAATTCGTTCGTTTTAGGTAATTGTGGAACTTGAGATGGAACCCGTGTTAATGTTTGATTTAGTTTGTTTTTTGAGCATTGGAACTGTAAATGGCCGACCTGATTACAAGTAAAACATTTTTTTTTCTTCCTTAAATTTAAGTCGTTTTGCAGCTGGCGCTGAATCACAATTTTGTAAATGCCTCTTTTTAGTTTTAACGTATATTGAGAGAAGAGAGATGAGACCAGCGGTTGTAGTAACGCCACTATTTAACGAGGCCATTCTAACTTCAACGTCACTAATGCCACCACATATTAATTCTATTAATTGTTCATCAGTAAACGCGATTTTAGTATTACGAAATAGTAGAATCTTTTCTCTAGCGTACTCGCCGTAAGAGTCCGCCAAGTCAGAGGAATATAAAACGGCCTTACTAAGCTTTTCGGACAAGTTTTTCTTTTCGGGATCAAGCGTCAATGATATCAGCACGAAGTTTTTCCCAGGATCTGCCTTCGGCTGGTTCCCAGGATTCGAACCATTTCAAGGCAGATCCCTTAAGGGCCTTACCGGCTTTAGCTGCTGTCTTGATACTGCTCCACTTCATTTCCGTAGCGAGAGTTTCGATACTACAGCACCAGCTCGTAGCTCCGCAGTCGCTCTGGTCTGGGTCGAACACTGGCAAGGCGATGTCATCATCCTTCTGGTGCTTTGTCGAGACAGCATCCCGGATAGCCTTAAGAAGCTCACCGATTGTTTCACAGTCCATCCTGAAAAGTAAATAATAAATTTGAATGTATTAAGCCTGAGAGTATCCCACTTCTGATGTGAGAATTTACGTTTAAATATAATAAAGCAATTCTACTTTTTAAATTTCGTTGTTAAAAATAAATACTATGTAAAGGAAATAAAAACGGTAATTTAATGTAATATCTTTAATACTTAGAATTCATTATTTAATATATATTTACATAGAAAACTATTGAACATATTAAGCAGTAATTATATATGAAATAAGAAAATAATTATGTATTTTAAAATCAGTTTAATATAACTTAAATATAAATCATAGCAACTAAAGCAATTACATTTATAATTTTACAATTCAAAGTAGCATAGTAACAACAAAAGTGTACTTAACTTGGTTATTGTAGTGCTCCGTACTGTAGTCGATATTAGACTATCGCCCCACCCCACAATAAGTCCCTTTTATATCATCCAAATCGAATCAAAAGTCAGACTAATGACAAACATCCTCTCAAAGATTTAGTTTATTTAGTTTTACATTAAATAAAATTCGTTATAATAAATAATAGTATTTATTATATTATTAATACCTTAATACCATTAATAATAATTTATTCACAAATAAAACTGTTTTAATCGACAATGATCAATACACTTCCTTCATAAATATTATAACTTTTTAAATGAATTGACATGTTAAAATTATTATAAAAAAAAAGAAAGTTCTTCAAATTGATTTTCTATTGATTAATTAAATGTAAATATTAACTATATGATATGTACATATTCTATTTATTTTGTCACGCGCGAAGCAATTAAAGAAAAACGTCGTTTAAAACTGTCGTTAGGCGTGTTGTTTCTTCACAATAACGCATACGCTCATCGATCGGAAGTTGCGCTCAATGCAATCCGCTGTGCTGGCTTCAATCACCTTGACCACCCACCATATTCTCCGAAGTTAGGCCCTAGTGATGTTCACTTATTCCCAAAAGTAAAAGAACATATTCATAAAGTTAAATTTCACGATGACGACGTTATTGCTGCCGTAGATGAGTTTTCGGAAGTTGAGAAAAATATATTTTTTGCAAGGAATAAGAAAGTTAGAAACGCGTTATTCTAAATGTATTACATTAGAGGGAATTTATGTAAAAATATTAAATATTTTTGTTTCATTTTCGGCATTCTTTTATATTGATTCCAAGAACTTTTTGATTCAACTTTTAAATCTTATATTGGAACATAATGTATATTTTTTTATCTGGAGGTGGGCGTTAATGACTACGACACAGTTTTAACTAATGTAGTCATTATCGAACATAATTTTGTAAATTGTAATCTTTAAAACGTGTCCAATAAAGATTTTTATTATTTATTTATTTATTTATTCATCCTCGCATACGCAAAAATATGCTTTAATGAGTTTCACATTCAAAATGTTTACATGAGAGACCTAAAATAAATTAGACGTTATTTTTCCTAATTATCAGCAAATTCCTGCAACTTATTTGCACAGGATATAAGATGCATCTTAATCATGCCATATCAAGTACAACAACATTCGCAAAGTAGCTACTATATGATAAGTTCAATTTTCCTAGAAACTTACGAATATCTATCAAGGAAATCATAATATCAAGGAAATATGGAATACGATAGGATGAATTTCTTCGTAAATAGTGGAATAAGTATTGTATTTTTTGTTATTTACATACAATTTTTTAGCATATTTTTTTAACATAATACTTTAGGTATTAATAACCAATAAGACAGAGTCACTATGTCAGGTGTTTTGGAAAGACTCATTAAAATTAAAAGTGAGGTGACATAATTTACTTACCTTTTGCTTATAATGTCCTTTTAGTAAGACGTGTGAGTTGACACCTGTGACCGACAGGCCGTTTACAGCTGTGTATGAGTAGTTGAAATCCATGTGATCTGTGACAATGCACATTCGACCATCACGGAGTCCCGCCACATCTTGCCGCGGTGAATTACAATGTAAATTCGCTGCAATCTTTCCAGTATGATAAGCCAGGAGAACCTAATTTGTTTAAATACAATTTTTTTCAATACATAAACAAAAGTAATTAACAATATAATTTTAACCTTTTATTTGTAAGCTTACTTTAGTAATGGCACATATCCCCGAAGCAGCTTCTGTATAACCAATGTTAGACATGATACTTCCCACTTTAAGGGGATCACTTCTATTTTTGCAAAAAACTTCATCAATCGATTGTAATTCTGATCTATCAGCTGCAGCAACAGCTGTAAAAAGTATGATTAAATATGAATATTATAATTAAAGAATCTATAAATAAATAAAATAAATATATATGTTGGGACATAAATATTGGATTTATGTTACTAAATCTATGTGCTACTTATGTAATTATTTTACCTGAGCCAACTGCTTCAACATATTCCACGACATCTGGTGAAACGTCAGCTTCTTGATAGAATTTTTTTATAAAATCAGCCGAAATACTAGGATTTCTGTAGAAACCGTATTTTGGACCACTTTCATCTTCTTCTAGTTGAGTAAACTCACATTTGATATAAGCAACTTCTGCATAAACTCTGAAATGTTGGTTGTTCTTTTTTACTATTTCACTAGTAAACAAATGGATAAAATGATAATTTTGTTTGTTAAGGTTAATTTCTTTATTGATTTTCTAAACATTAAAAATCATGTAAGCATGGAAGTATACCTTAGTGCATCTTTAGCTTTTTGCAAGAAAAGGACATTGATTGACTCCGATTTAGAACATCCAGCGGGATTACTATCAAATGATTTTGTTTTACCATCCATACTTAGTTTCATGATTCTGAAAATTATTTATTTATAAAAGTATATACATATATACATAGTCTGGCCATGAATACTGTTACAATTAAAAATAAACAAAATATTGCATTTTAATTTGGAATCTGTCATTTTTATATGATTGTTCATTATGTTTTCTCATTTTCGCGCCAATACATTGTAAAATATTTTGTGATATTAAAATAGAGTGAGGTGATAAAGAGAACCGAATCGCTGTGATTGTATTACACAAGGTAGGTATGGAGCAAAATCTATGGCGGCATCGTGAGGTCCATGGCACTGTATGGTGCCCCCGTTTGGATGGACGCCCTCTCCGCACCGAACAGGGCCCAACTGCGCAAGGCACAACGGGTTCTGGCGGTGAGGGCGGTGTGGGGATACCGTACGGTGTCCTTCACGGCGGCGACACTTTTGGCGGGCGATCCGCCCTGGGAACTCCAGAGGGAGGTGCTCGCCGAAGTGTATCGGTTTCGGGCGAGTGAGCTTGCGCGACGGGAACGTCCAGCGCGGGAGGGAGTCGCTCGGATCAGGCGTCTAGCTGACGAGGCTCTGATCCGGCGCTGGTGGGAAAAACTGGGGACTCCAGCGGCTGGCCTGGCGACGGTGGGTGCGGTTCGTCCGTACCTGTCTCGCTGGGTCAGGAGGCCACACGGGGTCCTGACGTTCAGGCTGACGCAGATGCTTACCGGGCACGGGTGCTTTGGTAAGTATCTGTGTCAGGTTGCGCGTCGGGAACCGTTGCCCGTATGCCACGAGTATGGTGCGTCCGAGGACACCTAGCACCACACTCTCGCGGTATGCGCCGCTTGGGCTCCCCAACGCCATGCCCTGATGGCGGTAGTGGGTGGAGACATGTCGTTGCGAAGCGTGGTGGGGGCCATGCTACGCGACGAGAGGTCCTGGTCGGCGATGGTCTCCTTCAGCGAGGCCGTCATCTCACTGAAGGAGACGGCGGAGAGGGAACGCGAGGCTAACGCCTTAGCAGACCCTCTTCGTCGCCGTCGGCTGGGGGAGAGGAGGCGCCGGTATGCGCATCTTCTCTCGCCACCCTAGAGGAGCTACTGCGGGGGGGTCTCTCGTTGACTCCCCTGCACGTCATCAGGGGCGGTCGGGATGCTCTGTGAATCGAGGGCATCCTGGTTTAGGCGAGGCAGGCCCGCGGGGTACGGGCTGTCCGCAGGGGTGTTGTAGTGAATGCGCAAGCGATCCTGCACACCCCATTGCACTGCGGCGACGGGTTCCGCTGTGGGTTTTAGTGAGTAGGAGTCTCACAGTACCCTACCCTTTGACGGCCGGTAGGGTCCCCATGATGGGTTTCCCCAGCGATAACAAAAAGAAAAAAGGTATGGAGCAAAATACAATTTTTAAAACTCTCCATACGCTTGGTATTAGGCAAATGTTTGTGTACCGGACTATTGATAGGCCTCCTCTGTATGTGACAGAAAAAGATCTGGCCATCCACGTAGTGTTCGTACAATTATAGCACTTTTCATCAAATGGTTTTTAAAAAAAGAAGATAACTAGGAATTACATAAAAAACATTTTTATTTAAAAGGTTGGACTCGATTTTAATAGGACAAGTTTCACGCGCGGATGTTGGAATCGAATTGAACTTTAATTAATATATAATCATTATGAACCATCAAAAGTGCTGACCGAAACTGCTCTTACGGCTAGGCAGACGAAAACACAGATATACGATTTTATTAATTTGCACCCTCTACCTTTTCTGTCGGCTAAAATTATAGGACCAGCATAATCTACTGCAGTGTTAAAAAAGGGAAAGTCACTATAAAGCCTTTCTTTTGGCAAACTAGCCATTAAAGGTTGAATCGTTTTGCCTGAGAATATACAACATGCATGGCATTCATGTGTTACCTTTCGAGCTAGATTTCGAACTCCTATTACCCAGAACTTGTGTCTTAATGTAGCTAAAAGCAATTGAGGCCCCGCATGTAATAAGATTTTGTGATAATGCCTTAATAACAACTTGGTAACATAATGTGCTGCATGAAGTAAAACAGGATGTTTCGTGTCATAATCATAATTAGAGTTTGATAGTCTACCGCCAACTCAAATTAGATATTCATGAGATATGAACGGATTTAAACTTAATATACGTGTATTTTTTTTTGGCAGTGGTAGCCCAGTGGTAACGCTCTCGCTTGGGAAACCGAGTGAAGCGGGTTCAAATCCCGGGTCTCGCACCTCTGATATTTTCATGTGCGAATCATTTATAACATGATTACCATTTGCCTTACGGTAAAGGAAAACATCGTGAGAAACCTGCATGTCTGAGAGAACTTAGCAAATTTTCGAAAGACATGTGAAGTCCGCCAACCCGCACTTGGCCAGCGTGGTGGACTATGGCCTGATCCCCCTCGTATTGAAGGGAGGCCCGTGCCCAGCAGTGGAACGTTAAAAAGGGCTGAATACATACGTGTTTTAATTGGTAGAGGTTTATTTTTAAGTAAAAGTCGAGAAAATGTCGAGTTGCACTAATTTGCATAATGTATTCGTGGCAGAGTTTAACTCACATACGGTGTTAAGTTTGTATACCTTTATTTCATGGCTAGCGTCAAAACGCCAAAGTATTTGTTGTAAATATCTTTGATCTTCTGCAACAAGTACACATCTGTACATTTTTTCGCAATCAGAAGTAACGACGTATTTGTGTTGTCTAAAGCGAATCAAGATTGAAATTGAGTCGTCTTGTACAGTTGGTCCTATACTTTGGATATTATTAAATGATATTCCTGTGGTAGTTTTGGCGGAGGCGTCAAATACAACTCTTAGTGTCGTTGTAAGACTGGACTCACGCAAAACACCGTGATGAGGTAATATATATGAGTATTTTTCATTAGAGCTATTGTAATTCGTATTTACAGACATATCGTTGGCTCAATATTACAAGGTTCTATGTTACAATTTTAGTACTTATGTAGTAATGAATGCTACAAGGCTCTATGTGTCATTAGCTACAGTTTTGCAAAAACAAACCACTAGATAGCAGCACTATACCTTAAAAATATTCAATTTTACATAGTTCTATGTATTTTTTTTTAAATCACAAAATAACGAAGCTCTATGTTAAACATAGAACCATTCAATTTTGGTTTTTATATTTTTTTAGAATAGCAAGGTTTTATGTTAAACAAAGGACCTTGCTTAGAGTTGTATGCTTAGAATTTTATTTACAACTAGAAAAGCACAAACAGGTATATCCCACGGGAACCGTTTATTTTTCCGGGATGAAAAGTAACTTGTTGTTAGACCAGCAATATAAGGTATCAGCATGCCAAATTTTACTAAATTAGGTGCATAAGTTGTTGTGTACTAAGTTGTATAAGTTACTATAGTTTTTTAACAATCTCACGGGAACTCCTTAATTTTTCTGAATGAAAAGTATCTTAGATGTTGACCGGGGATATAAGGTACCACCATAAAATTTCACTTAAATCGGTCCAATAGTTTCAGAGATTAGCTCGTACAAACAGACAAACAGGCAGAGAAACAAAAAAATTAAAAATCTGGATTTGTTCTATTTCTCTTCTTACGGGATGTAAGAAGAGAACCTACTCGGTTTATAGCATTTTTATTTCTTTGTACAGACATTCGACTTCTAGTTTTATTATACATATACATTGCTGTGAAAAAATATAGACTCAACAAGTTTTTTCATTATTTGAAAAATTGTATGTAACAAAAAAATAAAAACCGACTTCAAACAAAAGCACTAAAAAGTAAAAAATAACTGATTGGTAGTTTTCATTTACTATTCATACCTAATCAAATATTTTCGAAGTCGGTGTGCTTTGCTTTATATGGGCTGGCACCGATTGCGAAAATAATTGATTAGGTATGTATTTAATAGGTAGGCTTTAATTACTTAGCCAAAGCACACCGACTTCGAAAATATTTGATTAGGTATGAATAGTAAATGAAAACAACCAATCAGTTATTTTTTACTTTTTAGTGCTTTTGTTTGAAGTCGGTTTTTATTTTTTTGTTAAAAAGTTTTTATTTTCCCCTTTTTAGTGTAGACAGTAGCAGCAAAGTAAGAATTCTAACTTGTCAAATCAAACAAAACAAGCCCAAACTCGAAGTATCTACTATTAGCCGTTGAAGAGTTCCACCTATCCACCTCCTGGCCTTACCATCAGATCAGGTCAACAATACCGAACCACTGTACCATCAACGGAAATAGAAACACTTGCAAAGTTTCTAGTCAATATGACAATTAGAAGTAGGTTAAATTCATCATTAGCTATTTTTCCAGCCTTAGGGGTGGTATTTTTTTTTGAAATTTAAATGGGACCAATCTGGAAGTATACACTTTCAAACAACATAAAAATTGTCCAAATCTGTTAATAAATGACGGAGTTCTGAGGTAACAAACAATAAAAAAAAATACAGTCGAATTGAGAACCTCCTCCTTTTTGAAGTCGGTTGAAAATAATCTAGGACATCATGTTTTGTTAACTACACAATATTATATCCTAATTCATTATATGTCTATTTTTTTGCGTGACCTTCATTTTATAGTGATGTGACTTTGTTTTGAAAACGCTATATTTACCTGTGAATATTTATAAACGCAGTTGCATTTTATCAACCTACTGAAATTAAAGTGATTTTTTTATCATTGCTCTTGAAATCTACATTACTTACCAGCTTTGACTTTCGTGGTTAATCATAGTTAATTAATATATTCATTTTGTTTTGCGATGCCTCGCGGTAAAGAAATAAGTTCTATTGAAAAACAAATAATTATTGATCTGAGAAGCTGCGGCAAAACTCAAAGGCATTAGTGCGTAGATTCAATTTAAACTGTGATGCTAGTCTTGTGAGAAAGTGGGCACAAGAGCCCAGATGCTTTAAATATCGGCAGTACCTAAGTTAATCCGTCTTAAAAGCAAACCTTGTTGCAGAAAGACCAAAATGTGCAGAAAAATGTATCAAAAAAGGAAAAGCTTCTGGAAACACGTGATTTTCTC